ATTTGCATTTTATTGCATGACATAAGTATTTGATCACCTACCAACCAGTAAGAATTCCGGCTCTCACAGACCTGTTAGTTTTTCTTTAAGAAGCCCTCCTGTTCTCCACTCATTACCTGTATTAACTGCACCTGTTTGAACTCGTTACCTGTATAAAAGACACCTGTCCACACACTCAATCAAACAGACTCCAACCTCTCCACAATGGCCAAGACCAGAGAGCTGTGTAAGGACATCAGGGATAAAATTGTCGACCTGCACAAGGCTGGGATGGGCTACAGGACAATAGGCAGCTTGGAGAGAAGGCAACAACTGTTGGCGCAATTATTAGAAAATGGAAGAAGTTCAAGATGACGGTCAATCACCCTCGGGTCTGGGGCTCCATGCAAGATCTCACCTCGTGGGGCATCAATGATCACGAGGAAGGTGAGGGATCAGCCCAGAACTACACGGCAGGACCTGGTCAATGACCTGAAGAGAGCTGGGACCACAGTCTCAAAGAAAACCATTAGTAACACACTATGCCGTCATGGATTACAATTCTGCAGCGCACGCAAGGTCCCCCTGCTCAAGCCAGCGCATGTCTAGGCCCGTCTGAAGTTTGCCAATGACCATCTGGATGATCCAGAGGAGGAATGGGAGAAGGTCATGCGGTCTGATGAGACAAAAATAGAGCTTTTCGGTCTAAAGAGTACAACCCCAAGAACACCATCCCAACCGTGAAGCATGGAGGTGGAAACATCATTCTTTGGGGATGCTTTTCTGCAAAGGGGACAGGACGACTGCACCGTATTGAGGGGAGGATGGATGGGGCCATGTATCGCGAGATCTTGGCCAACAACCTCCTTCCCTCAGTAAGAGCATTGAAGATTGGTCGTGGCTGGGTCTTCCAGCATGACAATGACCCGAAACACACAGCCAGGGCAACTAAGGAGTGGCTCCGTAAGAAGCATCTCAAGGTCCTGGAGTGGCCTAGCCAGTCTCCAGACCTGAAAAATAGTAAAGTAAAGTACAGATATCCCCAAAAAACTACTTAAGTAGTACTTTAAAGTATTTTTACTCAAGTACTTTACACCACTGGATTTGATTTAATTTGAGTGTATGGCTGGCCTTTGCCTGAGTCTTTGTTTGTGTGTGCCTGTGTGTTCCTCTAATTGACCTGAATACGAGCAGCCATCTGTTGGTCTGAAGGCTCTGTGCTGGACAGGGCTGGGCTATAGACTATAGGCTGCCAGTCAGACTGCCTGGAGGATTCAGGCAGATTAATCAGGCCAGTTATCCTGTTTAAAATGTAGGGGAACTACCGTGTGTGGCAGTAAAAATAGTAGAGTGTGTGTGTGTTTGTGTTTGTGGATGAGGACATGGTCAATTTCAAGGAATGACAATCTGTAAAGTTCACAGCGGGAAAAGAGAAATGCAGTAGGTGTCTTCTGAGCATAATGTAATGTATTACCAACACCAGTGTTGTTGGGGTTATTTCCATTTCAACTACAACAGTTCACTAAATTAATCGTAATTCAATTCCTCAACTGAAAAATCCACATTGATTAATTAAATTGCCTTTTCAATTCCTGATATGAACTTTCCAGAATTGACCGAATTGATCCCAACCCTGCAGCATGTAGTATAGCCTACAGAGAAAGAGACTGTGGAAAGGTAGGTGTGAGACAAGGAAAGAGGGGATGGAGGGGGATTTAGATAGGGAGGGAGAGAGAGCAAGAGAGAAAGAGAGAGATGTGTTAAAACACTCCACTGGAGTAAATCTCTCACAATCTGATCAGTGCATGAGGTGAGGTAGATTAACTAACTAACCAACAGAACAGGAGCAGGACACACACAGGTTCTCAGGTAAGGAAATTTTCTTTCTGTTGAATCATGTGTAGATTATGACCATTCATGTTGGATCTATTGACTTTCATTCCAAGACAAATTAGATTATTTCAAGTTCAGTTTGATGTTAGATACAGGTGTATTTCTCTCCAAGGGGTTGATGTTAGATACAGGTGTATTTCTCTCCAAGGGGTTGATGTTAGATACAGGTGTATTTCTCTCCAAGGGGTTGATGTTAGATACAGGTGTATTTCTCTCCAAGGGGTTGATGTTAGATACAGGTGTATTTCTCTCCAAGGGGTTGATGTTAGATACAGGTGTATTTCTCTCCAAGGGGATGATGTTAGATACAGGTGTATTTCTCTCCAAGGGGATGATGTTAGATACAGGTGTATTTCTCTCCAAGGGGATGATGTTAGATACAGGTGTATTTCTCTCCAAGGGGTTGATGTTAGATACAGGTGTATTTCTCTCCAAGGGGTTGATGTTAGATACAGGTGTATTTCTCTCCAAGGGGTTGATGTTAGATACAGGTGTATTTCTCTCCAAGGGGTTGATGTTAGATACAGGTGTATTTCTCTCCAAGGGGATGATGTTAGATACAGGTGTATTTATCTCCAAGGGGATGATGTTAGATACAGGTGTATTTATCTCCAAGGGGTTGATGTTAGATACAGGTGTATTTCTCTCCAAGGGGTTGATGTTAGATACAGGTGTATTTCTCTCCAAGGGGTTGATGTTAGATACAGGTGTATTTCTCTCCAAGGGGATGATGTTAGATACAGGTGTATTTCTCTCCAAGGGGTTGATGTTAGATACAGGTGTATTTCTCTCCAAGGGGATGATGTTAGATACAGGTGTATTTCTCTCCAAGGGGTTGATGTTAGATACAGGTGTATTTCTCTCCAAGGGGTTGATGTTAGATACAGGTGTATTTCTCTCCAAGGGGTTGATGTTAGATACAGGTGTATTTCTCTCCAAGGGGTTGATGTTAGATACAGGTGTATTTCTCTCCAAGGGGATGCTTTCTATCCATTACTCCAAGCGTTACTATGGTTCCCCATCATTACATTTTGACTGACCGAGTGGTCATCTACAAACTTTCTAAACATGTCTAGTGAAATTCAACTTAATTGATATTACTTTTACCCTTATATCAGATCTACTCTGGTTGTGCTGTATAGAGGTCAGGATTGGGGTCAATTGTTCTTCAATCTAGGAGATGACTGGAATTCAAATCATTAATAAAAAAAAATTGCTCAATTAGATTGGAATTGACAACCCAACCCTGGAAATTATATTGTCATGCTTCGGCGGTCTCCTTCTGCCTTCGGTATAGGTTTAAGAACAACATCGATGTAAACTCAACTTAACTGCAAACGTAGCCACCATATGAGCAGATATTATGTTTTTGTTGGTCAGCCTTTTCTAATTAGTGTTTAATGTGCCCGTCAGCTTTAAATGTATCAGTAATCACTGACTTTAATTCCCACTTTAACCATATGGTGCCCATAGGCCTATTGTAAAGTAAAGCCCCCCCCCCCCACATATACACACACACACACAGCAGAGGAATACGTCAGCCTAATAAGTATTTGCAATTAGGTTAATTGGGAGATCTGTGAAAGATAATAAAAGGTTAAAAGGGCCAAATAATGGAGATTGGGTGCGACAGGGTTGTGTGGCTTGACCATCTGGCCCTCCTCTAAGCCAGTGTTTCCCAAATTCGGTCCTAGCACTATACAGCTGATTCAAATAACAAACTCATCATCAAGCTTATATTATATATTATCTCTCTCTCTCTCTCTGTCTATATGGCCATATGAATGACAATCAGTTGAACTCTGCATTGGTGACCTGGGTCAAACACTGTCTGGATTGGGAGCGACAGGTGGCCATCACGGTTTTAGCTGTCACCCCATGTTCCCGCACAACTTTATTTACCGTACCGTAAAAACACATCCAATGGTGATTAGGAGTGTCTGATCGCTACGGTAGACAGTAACGCCACGGTAGATCATTGCCAACCTTTCCCCGTGGGAGGGGAGTGGCGTAGAAAACTGGCTATCAGGCTGGTCGTAGAAACAAGAGCAGCAGCCGCTCGAACTGGCATGACAAGTTGTGAGTGACCATCAAGAGATTTCTTAAGCAGCCAGTAAAAACGACATAATTTCTGAACATACTATTCTTAATAATGTGAAGGGCTTAGACGCTCACTTTATCTCTTACTGATTTACTTCTTTTTTTGTATTTTTGTTGTAATGATCTGGTGTGCGTGCTTTCGGTCTTCTGTGAGTTTGTTCTATTCCAGGCCAATCCCTTGATTAATCTCTCAAAAGCCAATTAATGCATCAACCCTGCAGGTGGAATACTACACTACAGGCACGGGCGTGGTTACTTTTTATTTTATTTAGTCTATTCTCTCTTTTGTAACTTAAAATGCAATGAATTGCCAACAGTTTAAAATGAGTAGCGCCAGTAGTAGGTTACTTTGGAGTTGCTAGCATGTGTTGTCTCACGGTCAGGGGCAGGGAAGGGGGCAACTGCAGTTAGACTCTTTGTTAGCAGAACAAATTCGAATCAAGTGAAGACTAGCTTGTTCTGACAGCACAGTTTAGCGAACTAGCTGATTAATCTAGCCTACATCAGCGATGATCAGATACTGCATAGACCCCGGTAGTGGCCTACAATGTGTGATGAGTGAGTGTGTTTTGGTACAAAGTAAAGCCTCTGTTAAAACAAATAATGGAGAATTTGGCTACAGGAGCAGTAGAAAAGTATGAATGGAATGAAGGTCATTTTGGAGGGGGCGTGCCATTTTTTTTTCTCACTTTGAGCACCTGCCCCACCTGCCCCGTGCCTACAGTACAGTACAGACCTCCACACCTACTACTGCAACCTTGTAGAACAGCATCCACAGCAATAGAAGGGGAACTACCGGTCTCTGCTACTTTGTGGGCTGTCTTAGACTAAAAGTTACTCAGCTGCATTCTAAACACCAATCCTTTTCTTGCAGGTGTTTTCCTGGTTCTCCCACACCATAAAATAAGAAACTTCCAGAGGTATCAGACCATAGCTTTTCTGGGACATGCTGCTTTTAATTCAAAAGAGATAAACTTACTCACATCAGACATTCTTCAACCTCAAACCATATTCAAAGACTTCTGAAAATGGGACACAAGTGCATCTCTAAACCCTCACCCTTACAAACACTCATCCTCTCCACTTTCCTCCTCTTCCACTTCATCTCCCCTACCTCTGCCAGTGCCATGCCAGGGCCTGACTATGGAGGCCACCCGCGGTTCATCTGCATTCCCGTCCCTGCCGATACCGACCCTGCCTGCTTCCCCTCTGGGGGGCCAGTCATGGGGCCTGGGCCTAGCGGGGCAGGGCACCACGGGCCTCCTGTAGGGCCCCCGAACATTAATGGCTGGTGGGGGATGACAGAGGAGGCTAAAACCACTATTTTACACCTCAGAGAGAGCCTGGTGCAGCAGAAAGAGACCATCCTGGATATGAGAGAGACCATCAGGGAGCTAACCGCCAAGCTTACCCTGTGTGAGGGCTCCGGGCCAGGCATGGGGGCTCACGACGACCACCGTGGACCTCCCTCTCATCACGGAGGGACTGGCAGCCATCTGACTTACGCTGACAATGGTCACCATGGCAACAACAACCATGCCTTGGATGCAGCTGGGCACTACCCTGTAAATGGGGGGCACCGGTCGGACAGTGGGCATAACAACAGGGGGAAGGATAAACACACAACACCAGAGGATATGACATCATCAAAGTCGCCGGAGCAACTGGGCAGGATGCTGCAGGCCTTAAAAGAGAGACTGGATAACCTGCAGGTGAGAGAGAGTTCCGTTTAGTAAAGAAAATAGATAATGGAGTTAGGATGGGGTCATGAGGAAACAGATAAAAGAATGATGGAGGGATGAGTGACAGAGTGAGAAGTCAGGATTAAGGGATGACTGTAAATCGCTTTGGATAAAAGTGTCTGCTAAATGGCAGATTATTATATTATTATGACAGAGAGAGAGAGCGAGAGAGCAAGAGAAGAAGGGGGGTGTGGTGTGTTTCCACGTGTCACTTCCTTGTATTGTCTCAGGTCAGGTGATGCACATGTCATTGGATTGTTTGGTCAATTAAACAAATCAAGCCGAATAAGCGCTCTGCATAATTAAGACTGAAGTACAAATACATCTGTTAATCACATGAAAGTACCACCCTGCCATGCGAGACACCATCTGCCACAGGCAGACAGAGTTTTACATTTTGTTTCCTGGCATCAAAATCCTTTCTTGGTAAAAACAATCAAGGATCACCATTGTCCCTTTCCTCTGATACACTGCCAGCCCTATCTGACTGTCTGGAGCAGAACAGTCTTGGCACAGAGAGAGACTGGCATCCCTGGCATAACAGGTCCTGGCCTGACAGTGAAGTGTCTTTAGGGGTTGGATGATCACCCTGTCTAATTCAAAATGGGCACACTGGACAAGGTTATTGAGCACTGATGGTTTAAATGGATTCTGCTTGAGTACGCTTGGTAGGGTTTGGTATGGTTGGGTTGGTTTAGTATGGTTGGGTGGGTTTGAGATGAGCAGGGCCCAGCTAGCTGGGTGAGTTTAAGATTGGTAGGGAGAGTTAGGTTAGCTTGGTAGATGGGTCAAGTTAGTGTAGGTGGATGGAGCTGGGCTGGGCACGTCATTCCTACCTGTTCTCTCTCTATCGATTTCTCTCTCCCCCTCTCTCGATTTCTCTCTCTCCCTCTCTCGATTTCTCTCGTAATCCAGGCTTTGTCGTCCAGGTTTGTGGCCTGATTATCAGGCTGTCAGTGGAGATCATGATAGTTGACACTGATCTCAGATCTGTACCCTCCGTTTCCCCTGCCATCTGTCTATCGTCACAGTCCCGCAGAGAGAACACAAGTCAACGATGTAGAAACTGTCAAATAGCAAGACTTATCTCACTTAGGTATCTCTCAATCTGTTTCTCATTAAAAAAAAGAATGTACGTAATCAACAGTAAATAAGGTTATTGTTGTTTGTGTCTCCCTCCCCAGCAGTCAAGGAACACGTCCACCACCTACTCCAGCTCTCTGAAGGAGCTCCTCCAGAGGAAGATCAGTGCTCTGGAGCAGCAGATGCACCACACCACTGCTGCCCTCAGCAGCAGCCCCGAACATCACGACAACAGCGATCACCACGATGACGGGCACCATGAAGACCACGACGATGACGGGCATCACGACGATAGTCACGATGACGACCACCACGATGATCACCATGATGACGGGCACCACGACAACGAGGCAGATAGCCATGGTTACCTGCAGAGAACGGGTTATCGCACACCAGGGCCCAGGGCTGGCCTGCACTCCAACAACAAACTGGACTCTCTACTGAATAACCTACACCATACAGGTACCAACAGCAGGAAGAAGACCAAGACCCCTGATGCCTTCCAGATTGGCTTCCCCATGAGAACCAACTACATGTATGGGAAGGTGAAGAGGACCCTCCTCCATGAGATCTTCGCCCTGACCCTGTGTCTGTGGATAAAAGGGGGCGCAGGCCCGGGTCTGGGGACCCCCTTCTCCTACTCTGTACCAGGACAGGCCAACGAACTGGTGCTGATCGAGTGGGGCAACAACCCCATGGAGCTGCTGGTGGATGACAAGGTGAGACGGAGAGAGAGGGTTGAGTAGAGAGTGGCCATGTCTGAATAGCCATACTAGCATATTACAGACCTAAACTGCATACTAATTTCGGCGTTTGGTCTAGTAGAATTCACTCGTCTTTTCCGACTCATGTGTTTGACAACAGCTGATAATCAGATAAATTGACGCGCTGTACCAAAATGAACGAATGGTGGGAGTCTATTTTAGACATTTCTGTCTATTTATAAAACATTATATTTACAGCATTCTATTTACACTGAACAAAAATATAAACGCAACATGTCAATTGTTGGTTTCATGAGCTGAAATAAAAGTTACCCAGAAATGTTCCATACGCACAGAAAGCTTATTTCTCTCAACTTTTGTGCACAAATTTGTTTACATCCATGTTAGTGAGCATTTTTCCTTTGCCAAGATAATCCATACACCTGATATATCATATCATGTATCTGATTAAACAGCATGATCTTTACACAGGTGCACCTTGTGCTGGGGACAATAAAAGGCCACTCTAAAATGTGCAGTTGTGTCACACAACACAATGCCACAGATGTCTCAAGTTTTAAGGGAGAGTGCAATTGGCATGCTGACTGCAGGAATGTCCACCAGCGCTGTTGCCAGATAATTTAATGTTTATTTCTCTACCATAAGCCGCCTCCAACGTCGTTTTAGAGAATTTGGCAGTACCTCCAACCGGCCTTACAACCTCAGACCACGTGTATGGCGTCATGTGGGTGAGCAGTTTGCTGATGTCAACGTTGTGAACAGAGTGCCCCACGGTGGGGTTCTGGTATGGGCAGGCATAAGCTACGGACAACGGACACAGTTGCATTATATCAATGGCAATTTTAATGCACAGAGATACCGTGACGAGATCCTGAGGCCCATTGTCGTGCCATTCATCTGCCCCCATCACGTTTCAGCATGATAATGCACGGCCCCATGTCTCAAGGATCGGTACACAATTCCTGGTAGCTGAAAATGTCCCAGTTCTTCCATGGCCTGCATACTCACCAGACATGTCACCCATTGAGCATGTTTGGGATACTCTGGCTCGATGTGTACGACTGTTCCAGTTCCCACCAATATCCAACAACTTCGCACAGCCATTGAAGAGGAGTGGGACAACATTCCACAATCAACAGCCTGATCAACTCTATGCGAAGGAGATGTGTTGCGCTGCATGAAGCAAATGGTGGTCACACCAGATACTAAATGGTTTTCTGATCCACGCCCCTACCTTTAAAAAAAATTGTATCTGTGACTAACAGATGCATATCTGTATTCCCAGTCGTGAAATCTATAGATTAGGGCCTAATGAATTCATTTCAATTGACTGATTTCCTTATATGAACTGTAAAGCAGTAAAATATTTGAATTGTTGCGTTCATATTTTTGTTCAGTATAATACTAGAATGGGTATTCGGACATGGCCAGAGTGTGTGTGTGTGTGCTCGTGCTATATAACTCTCTTGGCTTTAACACCTAAGGATAAAAGCCATGTAAGCCATGTCTCTGTGGCCAAAGGTTTAGCCCAGAAAGCCTGTTGGACTCAGTGGCTCAGATGCTCAGTATCTAATAACTAGGCTACACTGAAGACCATTGTAACTCCGAAGGTTAACTGAATGGACTCTCTGAAACCAGTGATCCATCTTAATGGCGTGACGATGACGTCACAAAGTCAGAGAGCAGCAAGCAGCTTACTTAGACAGCAGGTGGAGAGAGTCTCAGCCAGTGCGAATTACACCATGACATTCGGGGGTCTCTATCGATTTATTTTATGGGACTAATAATAAAGACATAATTTAAACAGTAAAAATGAATTACCTTTTAATGTGACATGAACACAAGCAGTCATGATATTTTCATCTGATTGTTAAACAAATCACTTCAAAAAGTAGGCTACCTGTGCATGTTAGTCTGCTCCAAAATAATTCCAGCATCCAAACTGCATGTATACTCGCACCATTTGATGAATGTAAATAGACATGTTACAAAACACCCAAAAAGTGACATTCAGCGATTGCCATTGATTAGGTCGACATTAATTGATGCGTCTTGATGACAAATTGACCTTTTTTTGTTGCCTGAAAAGTCATGACACCTATTTTACCAGACTAGGCTACAATGTGTAAGACTATCACCATGAACTTCAAATAGGCCCATCGGTAAAAATAACTCTCCCTATACCTTCAACAGCGTAGCCTACCCTCTCAGCCGAGGCAACTTTACACACATGAACACACACAGAACAGCTAGCCTACATTCAATATAATACATGAGTTGAATGAATCAAAACATGTTTTACACGCTAGTTCATGAGTTGTCCATAATTAATTAGTTAATGCTTGGAGTCTTCACAGATCGTGTGACATAAACACTACCTTTCTTTCCTTACATTAATTACATTTATGACAGTGTTATTTGTAATTATTAAGCATTTAACAATTGAATTAGAACATTGAACTTAAACCCTGTACAAATCATGGATTTTTGAGATCTCGGAAAGTGCACTGTAAGTGTAACTATGCCTACGTAACATTTCATTATGTTTCGCCGTGAAAACAGTTCTCATGGGCACACAAATCCAATATAATGTAGGCCTATGCCATTGCAAAATGGAATGCTTCTAACCGAACGTTAATAATTGATCCTCTTCTAACCAAAGAGTCACCTTATAGTGTGGTCCTCTGTAGCTCAGCTGGTAGAGCACGGCGCTTGTAACGCCAAGGTAGTGGGTTCGATCCCCGGGACCACCCATACACGAAAATGTATGCACGCATGACTGTAAGTGTCTGCTAAGTGGCGTATTATTATTATTATTATTATTATTATAGGCCTACTGTCTTGTTGGATGGATTGGATGCACATTGGCGTATAGCTGTAGGCTAGTTGTCGGCAGGTAGCTTAGTGGGTAAGAGCGTTGTGCCAGTAACCGAAAGGTCGCTGGTTCTAATCCCCGAGCCGACAAAGTGAAAAATCTGTTGATGTGCCCTTAAGCAAGGCACTTAACCCTAATTGCTGATGTAAGTCGCTCTGGATAAGAGCGTCTGCTAAATGACTTAAATGTAAAATATAATGATCCAGGAAAGAAAACAAATATTGATAGAAAATAATCAAGCTAAATAAATGGTCTACTACTTCTGGCCACGTAGAACACCAGTACCAGCGCACACCTGAGAAACAAAGCAATGAGCGTTCTAAACAGCTGACTGACAAAAGCAAACAATGATAAATCAACGGTTAATCTAGTGCATTGGAATAAAGGCTATTTTTATCAAGGACACATGGCAAACAAATGGCGAAAATTAGGAAGTACAAAGGAAAATATATGCGTAAAGGAACTGACCTGAGGCTGAAATTCAACACTACTGAGTGGACAGCGCCACCACATATAAATAAATGGTTTAAACCATTACAGCGAGGTGGGGGTGTTTGTTTCATTTGGAAGCTTTTATTTTCATATTTACCACTGTAAAACATATTTACCAATACATTTTAAACAAACAGGAGAGTGGTTCAATTTGCATTATTTAGAGAACCCCCCCAGTAATTTGCAATCTTGGTCTCAGCCCTCATGAAAAAATACTACTGAGTTACTACTCAGCACTACTACACAAGATCTACACAAACCTACTGGTTTAACTATTTGATTGCTGTTGAGATGTGTAGTAAAGCAGTAGTGATTTATGTAGTAATTTAAATAGTAATGAGTGATTAAATTGGGACGTTTCAATACTGGTATTTAAATCACTACATAATTCTCCCTTAATGACTCCTGTGTAACTACTGAGCTTTTGGGTATCTACTACTTAAAACCTACACATACCTACACAATTCCTACATGTTCACTATTGAATTACTACACAAAGTCTACACATTACTGCTGTATGTCTACTCAAAACTCCCAATCCTCTTCTGGATCATCCAAATGCACTCTAGCAAACTTCAGACGGGCCTGGACATGTACTGGCTTAAGCAGGGGGACACGTCTGGCACTGCAGGATTTGAGTCCCTGGCGGCGTAGTGTGTTACTGATGGTAGGCTTTGTTACTTTGGTCCCAGCTCTCTGCAGGTCATTCACTAGGTCCCCCCCGTGTGGTTCTGGGATTTTTGCTCACTTGTGATAATTTTGACCCCACGGGGTGAGATCTTGCGTGGAGCCCCAGATCGAGGGAGATTATCAGTGGTCTTGTATGTCTTCCATTTCCTAATAATTGCTCCCACAGTTGATTTCTTCAAACCAAGCTGCTTACCTATTGCAGATTCAGTCTTCCCAGCCTGGTGCAGGTCTACAATTTTGTTTCTGGTGTCCTTTGACAGCTCTTTGGTCTTGGCCATAGTGGAGTTTGGAGTGTGACTGTTTGAGGTTGTGGACAGGTGTCTTTTATACTGATAACAAGTTCAAACAGGTGCCATTAATACAGGTAACGAGTGGAGGACAGAGGAGCCTCTTAAAGAAGAAGTTACAGGTCTGTGAGAGCCAGAAATCTTGCTTGTTTGTAGGTGACCAAATACTTATTTTCCACCATAATTTGCAAATAAATTCATTAAAAATCCTACAATGTGATGTTCTGGATTTTTTTCTTCTCAATTTATCTGTCATAGTTGACGTGTACCTATGATGAAAATTACAGGCCTCTCTCATCTTTTTAAGTGGGAGAACTTGCACAATTGGTGGCTGACTAAATACTTTTTTTCCCCACTGTAAGGGCTATCTATGAAAGACAGGATGACGAAGGATGGAAGATGATTACATTCGGGATTGTCAAAAACAGTAGCTAGCTAACAACAACCAACTACTTCCTGTCTTGTCTTCTTCTGTGGTAGCGAAAAGCCGTTATTGTCTGGCTGTAGTGTTGTGACTACTTATTTACTACCAACATCAAGTAGTAAAAATCTCTACCTGATTACTACTGGAAACACTACTGTTTTCCTACTGAACACTACAAAACTCTACTTGTGTATCTTGAGTAGTGCATAAACTACACATTTCACTACACAATCCCTACAAGTCTCTACATAGTCACTACTGCACAAATAGGTTTTGTGTAGTAATTCAGTAGTACTTTTTCATGAGGGAGAGCTCTGCAGAGATCATTACTACACCAACACTTGGATGATGCATGACAGCCATAGAAGGGGATGTGTTATAGAGGTATCAAGTTATCTCCTTGTACTGTCAACTTGGTGGTACTCAATCCCTCCTCTCCTCCCTTCCCCCCAGGCGGTGACCCTGCCTCTTTCTATCAGCGATGGGAAGTGGCACCATGTGTGTGTGACATGGTCGACGAGAGACGGTGAGTGGGAGGCGTACCAGGACGGGCTGAAGAGGGGCTCTGGGGAGAACCTGTCCGCTTGGCATCCCATCAAACCTGGAGGGGTCTTCATCCTCGGACAGGAACAGGTCATCTTCAAATTCTTTCAGTTGGTTGTTGAGTCTTCAAAGAAAAGTGTCTACAAAAAGCTTCTGCATTACACAAGACAATAAAAGTGCACACTCAGCCATTTTCCCTGTGACCACACTCATTAACCCCTTGAGCAAGGCAGTTAACCCCCAACAACAACTGTTCCCCGGGCACCAATGCAGTGGGCGTCGATTAAGGCAGCCCACCGCGGTTCTCTGATTCAGAGGGGTTGGGTTAAATGTGGAAGACACATTTCGGTTGAATGCATTCAGTTTTGCAACTGACTAGGTATCCCCTTCCCTTCCCTTCCTTCCTCAGCCCATAATTTCACCTATTATTGACTGAGTCCCTTATCCTAGTGTAGCCTCCCTTTATGTATCGCGCCATGGCTGTCTAGGACTCTAAGGCTATGTTTACACAGGCACACCAATTCTGATCTTTTTTACCACTAATGGGTCTTTTGACCAATCAGATCAGCTCTTGACAATAATTGGGCAAAATATCAGAATTGGGCCACCCGTGTAAACGCAGCCCAAGCAGAGGGACTGTAGTGCGCTCGCCCTGTAACCAACCACAGAAGCAGTCACTTCACTAGCATCAGCTTTCTCTCAGAAACAGTGATCGGGGTTAGGGTCAGAGTTATTTCTGTGTAATCCTAGCCTCTGACCTTTGAACCCTGACCATGTCTCCTTTAGAGCAACAGCTAGGCTTTGTTATATAATGAATGCTGACTACCACCTACTACTACACCATACATACAAAGCACAGGAGGTTGGTGGAACCTTCATTGGGGAGGACAGGCTCATGGTAATGGCTGGAGCGGAATAGGTGGAATGGTAACAATACAGTTGAAGTCGGAAGTTTACATACACTTAGGTTGGAATCATTAAAACTCGTTTTTCAACCACTCCACAAATTTCTTGTTAACAAACTATAGTTTTGGCAAGTCGGTTAGGACATCTACTTTGTGCATGACACAAGTAATTTTTCCAACAATTGTTTACAGACAGATTATTTCACTTATAATTCACTGTATCACAATTCCAGTGGGGTCAGAAATGTACATACACTAAGTTGACTGTGCCTTTAAACAGCTTGGAAATTTCCAGAAAATGATGTAATGGCTTTAGAAGGTTTTAATAGGCTAATTGACATAATTTGAGCCAATTGGAGGTGTTCCTGTGGATTTGTTTCAAGGCCTACCTTCAAACTCAGTGCCTCTTTGCTTGACATCATGGGAAAAAAGAAATCAGCCAAGATCTCAGAAAAATTTTTGTAGGCCTCCACAAGTCTGGTTCATCCTTCGGAGCAATTTCCAAACGCCTGAAGGTACCACGTTCATCTGTACAAATAATAGTACGCAAGTATAAACACCATGGGACCACGCAGCCGTCATACCGCTCAGGAAGGAGGCGTGTTCTGTCTCCTAGAGATGAACGTACTTTGGTGCGAAAAGTGCAAATCAATCCCAGAACAACAGCAAAGGACTTTGTGAAGATGCTGGAGGAAACAGGTACAAAAGTATCTGAAAGGCCGCTCAGCAAGGAAGAAGCCACTGCTCCAAAACCACCATAAAAAAGCCAGACTAAAGTTTGCAACTGCACATAGGGACAAAGATCGTACTTTTTTGAGAAATGTAATCTGGTCTGATGAAACAAAAATAGAACTGTTTGGCCATAATGTCCATCGTTATGTTTGGAGGAAAAGGGGGACACTTGCAAGCCGAAGAACACCATCCCAACCGTGAAGCACGGGGTGGCAGCATCTTGCTGGGGGGGTGCTGTGCTACAGGAGGGACTGGTGCACTTCACAAAATAGATGGCATCATGAGGAAGGAAAATGTTGTGGATATATTGAAGCAACATCTCAAGACATCAGTCAAGAAGTTAAAGCTTGGTTGCAAATGGATCTTCCAAATGGACAATGATCCCAAGCATACTTCCAAAGTTGTGGCAAAATGGCTTAAGGACAACAAAGTCAAGGTATTGGAGTGGCCATCACAAAGCCCTGACCAAAATCCTATAGAAAATGTGTGGGCAGAACTGAAAAAGCGTGTGCGAGCAAGGAGGCCTACAAACCTGACTCAGTTACACCAGCTCTGTCAGGAGGAATGGGCCAAAATTCACCCAACTTATTGTGGGAAGCTTGTGGAAGGCTACCCGAAATGTTTGACCCAAGTTAAACAATTTAAAGGCAATGCTACTGAATACTAATTGAGTGTATGTAAACTGACCAACTGGGAATGTGATGAAAGAAATAAAAGCTGAAATAAATCATTCTCTCTACTATTATTCTGACATTTCACATTCTTAGACACGGAATTTTTACTAGGATTAAATGTCAGGAATTGTGAAAAACTGAGTTTAAATGTATTTGGATAAGGTGTATGTAAACTTCCGACTTCAACTGTACATCAAACACATGGTTTCCATTCGATGCAATTCCATTTGCACTGTTCTGCACATTATTATGAGCCGTCCTCCCCTCAGCAGCATCCTGTGATCCAAAGCTAGCCACAAACAAACCCCATTACTTAGTTTAAATGCATTTATGGCTCCTCTCTTAAGTCCAAATCCTAACTTTAGAATGAGCCTAACATGACCCTGTCTCTCTCCTCCAGGACACTCTCGGAGGTCGTTTCGACGCCACGCAGGCATTTATGGGGGACATCTCTGACCTCCAGATGTGGTCTAATGTCCTCACGGCCCATGACATCTACAGCCTGGCCTCCTGCAACAGCCACCTCAGTGGGGACGTCATCACCTGGTCTGAGAACGTGGTGGAGCTCCACGGAGGGGTCAACAAATACCCCTTCGACCCCTGTCACTAAGGGAAACCAACTATTATGACATTACCAATGGATCCATATCACATACAGACTTAAAAGTGCTCCTATCGAAGAAGGACTTTTTTCCGATCCAGAGGAGGTGTGAGATCACATGAGATAGAGGATCCACTCCACTTAATATTACCACCTGACTCTAAAACTATGCCTTCCTTTTAGTCTGAAAGACTGAAGACCCCCATTCCGAGAGACTGTGTTATGACTACTATGGAATTAAAATGTTTTGATAATGAAATGGACTATATATATAGTGCCATTGTGCAAGTTCTCCCACTTAAAAAGATGAGAGAGGCCTGTAATTTTCATCATAAGTACACGTCAACTATGACAGACAAATTGAGAAAAAAAAATCCAGAAAATCACATTGTAGGATTTTTAATGAATTTATTTGCAAATTATGGTGGAAAATAAGTATTTGGTCACCTACAAACAAGCAAGATTTCTGGCTCTCACAGACCTGTAATTTCTTATTTAAGAGGCTCCTCTGTCCTCCACTCGTTACCTGTATTAATGGCACCTGTTTGAACTTGTTATCAGTATAAAAGACACCTGTCCACAACCTCAAACAGTCACACTCCAAACTCCACTATGGCCACGACCAAAGAGCTGTCAAAGGACACCAGAAACAAAATTGTAGACCTGCACCAGGCTGGGAAGACTGAATCTGCAATAGGTAAGCAGCTTGGTTTGAAGAAATCAACTGTGGGAGCAATTATTAGGAAATGGAAGACATACAAGACCACTGATAATCTCCCTCGATCTGGGGCTCCACGCAAGATCTCACCCCGTGGGGTCAAAATGATCACAAGAACGGTGAGCAAAAATCCCAGAACCACACGGGGGGACCTAGTGAATGACCTGCAGAGAGCTGGGACCAAAGTAACAAAGCCTACCATCAGTAACACACTACGCCGCCAGGGACTCAAATCCTGCAGTGCAAGACGTGTCCCCCTGCTTAAGCCAGTACATGTCCAGGCCCGTCTGAAGTTTGCTAGAGTGCATTTGGATGATCCAGAAGAGGATTGGGAGAATGTCATATGGTCAGATGAAACCAAAATAGAACCTTTTGGTAAAAACTCAACTCGTCGTGTTTGGAGGACAAAGAATGCTGAGTTGCATCCAAAGAACACCATACCTACTGTGAAGCATGGGGGTGGAAACATCATGCTTTGGGGCTGTTTTTCTGCAAAGGGACCAGGACGACTGATCCGTGTAAAGGAAAGAATAAATGGGGCCATGTATCGTGAGATTTTGAGTGAAAACCTCCTTCCATCAGCAAGGGCATTGAAGATGAAACGTGGCTGGGTCTTTCAGCATGACAATGATCCCAAACACACCGCCCGGGCAATGAAGGAGTGGCTTCGTAAGAAGCATTTCAAGGTCCTGGAGTGGCCTAGCCAGTCTCCAGATCTCAACCCCATAGAAAATCTTTGGAGGGAGTTGAAAGTCTGTGTTGCCCAGCGACAGCCCCAAAACATCACTGCTCTAGAGGAGATCTGCATGGAGGAATGGGCCAAAATACCAGCAACAGTGTGTGAAAACCTTGTGAAGACTTACAGAAAACGTTTGACCTGTGTCATTGCCAACAAAGGGTATATAACAAAGTATTGAGAAACTTTTGTTATTGACCAAATACTTATTTTCCACCATAATTTGCAAATAAATTCATTAAAAATCCTACAATGTGATTTTCTGGATTTATTTTTCTCATTTTGTCTGTCATAGTTGACGTGTACCTATGATGAAAATTGCAGGCCTCTCTCATAGTGCCTTCAGAAAGTATTCATACCCGATTACTTCTTCCACATTTTGTTGTGCTACAGCCTGAATTCAAAATTGATTAAATTAAAACAAATTCTCACCCATCTACACACAATACCCCTTAATGACAAAGTGAAAACATGTTTTTAGACTTTTTTGCTAATGTATTGAAAATGAAATACAGAAATATTCCATTTACATAAGTATTCACACTCCTGAGTCAATTCTTTGTAGAAGCACCTTTGGCAGTGATTACAACTGTGAGTCTTTCTGGGTAAGTTTTTAAGAACTTTCACACCGAAAATATTATTCAAGCTCTGTCAAATTGGTTGTTGATCATAGACAACCATTTTCAGGTCTTGCCATAGATTTTCAAGTAGAGTTAAGTCAAAACCGTAACTCAACCACTCAAGAACATTCACCGTCTGCTTGGTAAGCATCTCCATTGTAGATCTGGCCTTGTGTTTTAGGTTATTGTCCTTCTGAAAGGTGAATTCATCTCCCAGTGTCTGGTGGAAAGCTGACTGAAACAGGTTTTCCTCTAGGATTTTGCCTGTGCTTAGCTCCATTCTGTTGATTTTTTATCCTGAAAAACTCCCCAGTCCTTAACGATTACAATCATACCCATAACATGATTCAGCCACCATTATGCTTGAGTGGTACTCAGTAATGTGTTGGATTGGATTTGCTCCAAACAACACCTTGTATTCAGGACAAAAAGTGAATTGCTTTGCCACAACATGCCTTGTTGCAAACACGATGCATGTTTTGGAATATTTTTATTCTGTACAGGCTTCCTTCTTTTCACTCTGTCAATTAGGTTAGTATGGTGGAGTAACTACAATGTTGTTGATCCATCCTCAGTTTTCTCCTATCACAGCCAAATTCACTGCTCAACTGAGGGACCTTACAGATCATTGTATGTTGGTACAGAGATGAGGTAGTCATTTAAAAGAATCATGTTAAACACTATTATTGCACACAGAATGAGTCCATGCAACTTATGTGACCTGTTAAGCAGAATTGTACTCCTGAACTTATTGAGGCTTGCCATAACAAAGGGGTTGGAATACTTATTGACTCAAGACATTTCAGCTTTTCATTTTTTATTAATGTTTCATTATTGGGTATTGTGTGTAGACCAGTGACAAAAAAAAAATCTACATTTAATCCATTTTAAATTCAGGCTGTAACACAACAAAATGTAGAATAAGTCTAGGGGTGTGAATACTTTATGGCCCTGTATATGTATCTATTTTTCTAGCTTCTATATTTTGACCCTTTATTAGTGTTACTGCTGTTTTAGTGTTACAACAAGGATAATATGACATATTGTCATATAGTTGATGAAGATGAATAGATATTGTTGTTACGGTACACAGCATCCTTATAGTAGGGCCTGTATAATTGACTTTGAAAGTGGTTACATAGGTAGGAGAGAGTGAGGTTGACCAATGGATTCTCTGAAAGAAGATTCCTTGAAAGATACAGCTACTATACCAAAGATAGCAAAGAAAAGTTAGACTCATTCATTTGTTTTGTTTCTTCTTCTTTTTTTTTACTGTTTTCCTGTGATATAAGTACATTAAGTACATTTTAGTTGTTACATCCATTTTTGGACTTATAAATTAATGATATATACCCATTGATTCTTGAAGAATATAACTTATAAATGCCTCATGAGCTTAGTTCAAATGTCATACCGCATCAGAACCCCAAATACAAGCTTGTTTTACTCCAATGTTTGTAAACAATGTAAATGTAAACAAAACACTGTATAGCCTCAACATGGTTCAAACTTATAATGTTGATATCATGGATGGTCAGTCCTTGCATCCATAGCTCTGTCTATGAATTTGAGAGTGGTTACATTTCTCCAGGCCCATATCGGCTTTATACCAAAACAGAGGTGGGGAGGCCGCTTTGTTATTGATTAAATTCAGGATTCTAGCTTTGTGTTATTGTTTTGATTTCAGATTAAAATGTCAATGATTTACCTGAGACATGAATTCCCAGCAAATACATGTGCTTTATGAGTCTTTATATGTATATACAAACCATTTTAAAGCTCAATTTAATGTATTTTAAATTGTGCTACATAGGGGAGTGGAAATGTAAGGGAGTTACCCCACATTTCTCTTTACCTCTCTTTTTAATGTAGGAGGAACGTTTCAGTAAAGTGACAACACCCCTAATAGACGAAGAATCAGATAAGCAACAGATTTACAATTAATTAACATGCACTGAAATCAAGTTATTATTATTTAGAGATATTGTTTGTGTTCATTTACTACATTATTTGTCAATTTATGTAACTTTCTATTTGAAATCCTGTTGTTGTTTGAAGGCCAAATTTATAAAACATTTCTCATATGTCTTTTTTATGAAAATGTTATATATGGCTAATATAAGATTTGTTGTAATAACATTGTGGCTTTGGAAATGTTTGATTAGTCTGGCTATGTTTCTATCAGTAGAGCATTGTCTGTGAATACTGCACACGTATCAGAAACTTTTTGATATTATTTGTAAATAAAAACCTTGAAGTGGCTGTTTGAATGTTGATTTATTGATCAATTTATGTTCTTGAATCCCATTCTGACCTCAGACTGCACCTGACGTCTAGTTTGACCTGTCTGCTTTCCTCACCGCTGATAGTCTACTACTAACTCCCATCACACACAATCAATCTCTCAGCAACCCAATGGGGCCACACTACAGCACCCACAGGTCACCACAACAGGGCAGCCAGCGCTAAAGATGGGGTGGCCTATAGCAGCAGAGGCTGCTGAGGAGAGGACGGCTCATAATAATGGCTGGAACGGAGCAAATGGAATGGCATCAAACCATGTGTTTGATGTATTTGATACTATTCTACTCATGCCGCTCCAGCCATTACCACGAGCCTGTCCTCCCACATTAAGGTGCCACCAACCTCCTGTGACCTATACAGTGGAGATATGCTTGATTGACCCCATCTTACCTTGTTATCCATGATGGCATGCATGCACACACAGCTCAGGTGTGAACATAGACCACATATTTATGCAGGTGTTAAACTCATTCCATGGAGGGCCTAGTGTCTGCGGGTTTTTGGTTTTTCCTTTCAATTATGTCCTAGAAAACCAGGTGAGGGGCGTTCTTTACTAATTAGTGACCTTAATTCATCAATCAAGTACAAGGGAGGAGTGAACATATAAAACCAAGGTTGGCCATTTACTGTCACCTGCAGTTATGGAATGCTTGCTCACCAGTATAATTCATTGGCTGATCCCTCCTGATGATCCAGATGGAATCATGTGATCCTTCCTTAACCCATTAATTTATTTTTATTTATTTCACCTTTATTTAACCAGGTAAGCCAGTTGAGAACAGGTTCTCATTTACAACTGCGACCTGGCCAAGATAAAGCAAAGCAGTGCAATAAAAACAACACAGAGTTACATATGGGGTAAAAAAACAAAGTCAAAAATACAACAGAAAATATATATACAGTGTGTGCAAATGTAGCAAGTTATGGAGGTAAGGCAATAAATAGGCTATAGTGCAAAATAATTACAATAGTATTAACACTGGAATGCTAGATGTGCAAGAGATTATGTGCAAATAGAGATACTGGGGTGCAAAAGAGCAAAATAAATAACAATATAGGGATGAGGTAGTTGGGTGGGCTAATTTCAGATGGGCTGTGTACAGGTGCAGTGATCGGTAAGGTGCTCTGACAACTGATGCTTAAAGTTAGTGAGGGAGATAAGAGTCTCAAGCTTCAGAGATTTTTGCAATTCGTTCCAGTCATTGGCAGCAGATTACTGGAAGGAATGGCGGCCAAAGGAGGTGTTGGCTTTGGGAATGACCAGTGAGATATACCTGCTGGAGCGCAGACTACGGGTGGGTACTGCTATGGTGACCAATGAGCTAAGATAAGGCGGGGATTTGCCTAGCAGTGATTTATAGATGGCCTGGAGCCAGTGGGTTTGACGACGAACATGTAGTGAGGACCAGCCAACAAGAGCGTACAGGTCACAGTGGTGGGTAGTGTATGGGGCTTTGGAGACAAAACGGATGGCACTGTGATAGACTACATCCAATTTGCTGAGTAGAGTGTTGGAGGCTATTTTGTAAATGACATCGCCGAAGTCAAGGATCGGTAGGATAGTCAGTTTTACGAGGGCATGTTTGGCAGCATGAGTGAAGGAGGCTTTGTTGCGAAATAGGAAGCCGATTCTAGATTTAGGAATAGGAAGTCCCACCAAGTTGACTACTTAAAAATTGTGAAAGTCGTTGATGGCACCGCCCACGCTAAAACTACCTTTTGGGCCCTGGAGTCCTACATCATTCTCTATGGGTCACGCAAACACTTGGGCTGTAAGTGGGTCACAATTAGGGTTGCCCAATTCTGGGAACTTGCAATAAATTCCCCAGTTTTGCAGAAATCCTGGTTGGAGAATACCGGATTTCCTGCTTATTCCTTCCTGATTCCAGGAAACCTCCAACCGGGATTTTGGGAAACCATGGAATTTAAGTTTCCGGAATATTGCAACCCTAGTCACAATGGGACTGGGGAATATGATATGAACGTTTGAAAACAAAGTCTAGTACTAATCACTCAGAAACACACAGGAGTATTGTCTCAGTTCACTTTTTATTATTTCACAACAGTTTGACTGGCACCAGCGTACCGTGGTTTTGCTACATATAGCACAGATGACCTATCCATCTTTACCTTGCTGTAAATCAAAAATAAATAAATACTAAATCAAACAGTATACCAGGAAGTAGTGGTGTTGGGGTCTGGGGGACAGAAGTAGTGGTGTTGGGGTCTGGGGGACAGAAGTATTAATTAGTGTCCTTTCTCACAGAAGTGTGTCTCTTTGTTGAGTTGGAACAGTGTGATGTCAACTCCATTTTGGCAACTTTGCACTTCAAGAATACCCAGATAGGTCCACTGTGTTTCAGTATCATGTAGTGTACAGCAGCCCTGCCTGTAGGTTGGCTCACTGCTGTGTGTGTCACACCAAACACTCTCAGAGAATAACTAAAGAAGACTAAGAGATTTTTTTTTTTGTACATAGACTTTCGTATGTAAAACACATTTTGAGTAAAACTTCTGTGTTTGTAGTTGTGAGAGCGATCAAAATATGTATTTTATCACAACCAGTGAGGACGTTGCAGGACAGCCAGGCCACCACTGGAGGGTACTACAGATAGTATTGCCAATCTACAGGTACAGCACTTTAAAGGCTGTATAACGCTAAAATATTGATAAAGTGCAGCAGACAATCCTAATTCTGCATTTTCCGTAATCATCAGTCTAATAAAATGTAAATCCAATGACAAACTAATGAAAATAAGAAAAATATCTACGAGTCAATTCAGGCATAATGTATCCTTAACATTGTTATTAATTAAATACATTGGAATATTGCAGCTATTCCATAATACTTGAAAGATGTATTAGTGTTCCGTGTTTGTTGGCCTTTTCATCTTCAATCACATTAAGAGGAATCTGATGCCTTTTCCAGGCTTGGCTGATGATTCAACTTCAGAACGGTCATTTCAGTTCTCATATTAGACAGGTCGTTTCAGATTTATCATGGGGTGATGTCCCAATAACCACGCATAGTTTGCTTTCCTTTAAGATCACAGATCTGACAGGATTGGATGGGCATCAGTATTATGAAGGACATCTATCCAGCCCTTTCACATATCCATGATGGTTATTGTGGAAAGAAAGCCATTACAGGCGACTGTGCTTCAGTGAGCCTCATTCATTCAGGCTCTTACGAGGGTAATATCAGAGGTTCCTTCAGGATGGTGCAAAATTATCAACAGTGCAGATAGAAATAGAACGTATAGAACTGACAGGATTCCCTGTACCATACCACAAAAGAACCATGCCTGTTCTATACAAAACATTTATATTCAAAAGGTTTTGTGATGTAATCACTCTCCTGTCCTGAATAATCTAAATGTTCAAATTGGAGGTCGATTCTATTGTGCCAACAGGGAACACTAACAATCTTTCTCAAATGCACCCAACACTAACAGGAGTCTGATCCATCTGTGTGTATGGGGGAACAACCCTCCAGTCATCTCCACATGCAGTCCTACAGTAGCTCATACACAACAAAAATAAACAATACATTAAATCTCTATGTGTGTTGTAAACAAATATACTAACAAGTACTTACAAAAAAAAAAAAAAAAGTATACATTGTAATAAGCTGCCGTTGTAACTTCTTAAAACCCACTGTAGCGTATTCTAGACCTGGGTTTAACAGTTTAAGTGTCTGTATGAGGGAGTGTATTAACTGTCTTGTGAAGGAAACGCCAGTGGTCATTGACAAGAGTTGTCTTCTTTAGTGTTCACTGCTCAATTGTTGCCTCATTGGTCAGTTTGTGGGAACATTTCCTGTAGATGGTCGATCATAATAACTAATGTAACATGAGAATGACATTAATTCTCCCCCACCCCCCCATAAAAAAATAAAATAAAAAAGTGGTTGTCCCACTGGCTATCATAAGTTGAATGCACCAATTTGTAAGTCGCTCTGGATAAGAGCGTCTGCTAAATGATATAAATGTAAAATGAATGGTCTAAGGCTACGCAGTAATGACCAGCGTCATTTCCTTCACACAGAGGCTACAGTATTAAAGTGTTACTTTGATAATGCCGATAGACATACTAACCTGGAGCCAAGCAGTTAGAATAAAGCAGTAGAAAACTAGGGCTGCACCTGAAGTGGCTTCCTCAGCCTCCGTGCATTCTGTCCTTCACACAGTGATAGAACTGGACCGGTGGGAACCAAACACACTGGTCCGTTGCCCCAATGTTAGATCAGTTAGATGAAGGAGAGGAAGTCACTTCAGACTGATAAGTTGCAGCCTGTTTGTGATGGAAGAGGGTGGTTTTAGGTTCAGTGGCCCTGCTTGCTACCCTGAATAAAATACACATTTATTTCACAGTTCACTTCAACGTCAGACAAAAGAAGACGGGAAGAGAGAGGTGTAGTGACGAGAAGGGGGCTTTGAGTGAGTGAACTAACTGTGTTGTATGTAGGGTAGTAGTGGACACTTCGTAGTGTGGTAGTGTACAGATCAGCCGCTAGCAGCAACAGACGGTAGTGGATGAGTGGTGAACTCTGAACTGCCTGTGTGTGCTGGCCAGTCTCTTAAACAGGATAGCAACGAGTCCTCCACATAGAAAGAAAGAGGGGGGAAAAAAGGGAGGAATGAATCTAGGAAGGAGGAGAGAAGGGCTTGTGTCCCATGTTGGAATGAGAGATGAAGAGGTGGAGGAGGAGATGAAGAGGAGAGGAGAGAGGAAGAAGGGAATGTTCTACGGTTGTTCCTCGTTCTTCTTTAATGATATGCGTTTCTTCCTGGCAGCCAGCATCTCGTAGAAGGGGTCCACGCTGACCGCAGAGCTGGAGAGAGGATGCAAGAAAGAGAAACAGAATAGAAGAATGTTAGTCTGATGCATTTCTAAATGTATCCCTCCATCCATCCACCCTACTCTCCCTTCCTGACTGCCTCCCTCCCTACTCCGTACTTGATGTGGTGGATCCATTCGTCCTTCTCCTCAGGTGTGGGGGCAGAGATGCGGTACACGTTGTGGTTCCCCTCCACCACTCTGCCGTCTGCCTCCGTCTTACAGGCCTTGATCAGCTGACCACGGTTGTTGGGGATGTACAACTCAAAGCAGTTCTGGGAAGGGAAGGGCAGGAGTCACGAGAAACAGTGCAGTGATCATGTCCTATGTTGACATTCTAATGTACTGACAGACTCACAGGTTTCCTGGGGTCTTCAACCTCACGGATACTCAGGTTCTCTAGGGGAATGATACCTCTGGGCTCCTTATCCTGAACACACACACAAACAGACATACACACTGTAGTATACAACACTCTGATCCACGTTACAATGTTCTGTTACATAGCTCTTTACCCTCTCTGTACTGGATTCCATTTCCATCACATTGCTCTACAGTGGCACTTGGACTTTGGCAGCAGATGAGAGCTATAATGTTGACTTACTGTAGTATATTCAAAGTAGTAGAGGCAGTTGTCTGTGAGAATGAACCATCTTCTTTTCCAGGTCTTCACCCGTCCTCCTGAAATACGAGCAGACCAACACAGAGGCATGAGAGACAGGGTGGTAGCTAGAGGTTAGCAGAACACCAACTGGACTGGAGACAAACTCATTCCATTTGACTGCTCCACATACTGAAGTAAATATGCCATTACTACACATCACCTTCAGGATATTACAGTTATTCAGACAGCTTGTATAGCCTTACATGTCCAATGTTACTGTGCTTTTGTATGTCAATTCATCTCTCAGTAATAACTAGCAGATATTAGTAATATGTAACATATTTAATGTCTGTCAAAAGGCATATGTGGACAATAAAGTTTATTCTATACTGCCTGGTGGCCATTTTGGTTCCATAAGAATGATATTGTTTCTCATGGACCCATTCTCCCAGTACATACCTCCTGAGAAACAAGCGGCAGCAGAGTGTGGAAATCACAGGGAGAAGCAGAGACAACAGGGACCAGAGGTTTCGGGGGGGGGGGGGAGGGGAGGGAGAAGACGGCAGAGATATTAGTGACAAACAGATCACAGACCCCACCATGCAAGAGAAGACGGTTCAGACTGCCAAGATGCAAGAGAGTGAGGTACTGAGGGAAGCTCCATGTAGAAAGTCACCCATAGACACATCTAGGATCAGTTTACTGTCCCCCAATCCTAAACTTAATTTAGGGAGGTAAAACACAAACTGATCTTATATGAGAATCCAAGGGCAGCTCCCTCAGTATGGACAATTCTGTCTATTTACCCATCATGCAATGGCAGTCTTAAGACCATAATACACAGACAATGGTTTTAGGCAATATTGCTGGAGAACAAGTGTGGCAGTATTGCCTCAGAACATTGGCGGTGTATCATTATCTTTAGTGTAAACCTGAGAGAGAGGATGAAGGCAGGCACATAACAGCACAAAGCCTTAGGAGAGAGAGCACACAACACACAAGTTTACACTCATTATCCAAAAACCCTGGGGCTGATCAAGACGTTACAGAATGTTAATATGTTTTTAAGCCATCCAAATAATCCATATTTGGTTTTGAAACCGCCTTGAGGTGATCGGCAGAGAGAAGCCGCAGTACACCCCTCCCACCACCCGGCGATTGCCACAGCCGACTCACCCAGTTTGAGGAGCCAGCCCTCTCTGTCGGGGTTGAAGAAGGTGTGTGTCAGGTCGTTCCCATCATCCTCAGGGATCTTGAAGGGCTCGTTCTTGATGCTGTCATAAAGATTCTGTGGTAGACAGAGCGGAGAGAGACATTGAGAGGAGAACAAACAGCAGGGAGATTCACTATAACACACACACTGTTATTTCATCTGAACTAGAGCTTCATGCAACTGAACCCCTACAAACACATTAAAAAATACGAACAATCACTCAGTCACGAGCCAACGACAAGCTCACTTCCACAGACTCCCCTAGCCCTTCCCCATAGCCCCTAGGTTCCCCTCCCTCACTCACTCTGAGCAGGTCCTCTGGCAGGTCTCCACCCTCGTTGATGCCTCTGTTCATGGAGATGAAGCGGTCCAATCCAGGCTTGTCTCTCACGTTGGGGTTGTGGAGGCTGGTGTTCAGCATGATGATGGCAAACGACAGCACATAGCACGTATCTAAGGAGAGAGAGGAACCATAAGATGAGAAGAGTAGCTAGCAGACCTCTGTGTTGTAACGACGGTAGGTGTGTGTACCAGTGCTCTGGAAGACCCCAGGGTTGCAGTGACAGTATCTCTGGGCGAAGGCCTCCATCATCCTGTCAATCTTCTGAGCCTCGCCGGGCAGACGGAAACTCCACAGGAACTGCCTGCAGGAGTCAAAGGTCAGAGGTCAAAAGGTCAGAGACAGAGCACTAGCTGCCATGGTAACAAAGACGCTTATGTAGGGTTTTTATCCTCGATAATTTGAAATGCATGTACTGGTTTTTATTAAATGTCAGAGGTTATCACAGAGTACACCCCAGCTTACCTGAGAGCCTGGACCAGGTTGAGATCAGTGAACTCATGAAGGTCAACAAACGCCTGCAGAACCTTGAGATTAAAGTCCTCCCTACAGGAGAGAAGAGGGACGTAGACTTCTGATGCTGTTCAGCCCAATAATAACAAAAGAAGAAGAGAGCGAAAGGTAGAGAGAGGGAATGGTTACCTCTCTCCCAGGTAGTCTCCTATAGCAGTCTTGTTGAGGCCCTCTCCTTTGTACAGGAACTGGGCAACGTCCTCTTGAGTGTGTCTGAGCAACTCATTCTCCACCAGGAAACACAATACCCTACACACAGAGAGAGAGAGAGGAGAGAAAGAGAAACTACAATGAAAAGACACTCAAGAGATTGATGACAAGAAAGACCGTGAAAGAGAGGGGGTTGGGGGGGGGGGAAGAGTGGTATAGAGGCTGATCAGATTAATGTATCCATTCCATGTCCCCTTTTCACCTTTTTGGGGTCCATGTTGAACTTCTTCCTTCCCATGGCCACATGCCTGTTCTTCTGTAGAGTTTTACTGCAGGGAGGAAAGACAAGGAGTGGATCACATTCAACCCAATAACTCTGCATCAATTATACATACAGTTAGAGTGAAATGGAGAGGACAGAGCAGGGAAGTCAAACTAAAATAGCTCTTAGAAACGCTTTCAAATCCTTCTTTTAACAGCGAAATTGACTGAAAACACATTCTCATTTGCAGCTATGACCTGGGGAAGTTGCAGGGGAGAGGAGAATAGTCGAAGGAGCCAATAGGAAGTTATCTATTTTTACATAAACTTAAAAGTGAAATTGCCATAGATGCAATATTGAGTAAATGCAGAGATTCAAGTTCCTTGGCGTATACATCACTGACAAACTGAAATGGTCCACCCACACAGACAGTGTGGTGAAGAAGGCGCAACAGAGCCTCTTCAACCTCAGGAGGCTGAGGAAATTTGGCTTGGCACCTAAAACTTTTACAGATGCACAATTGAGAGCATCCTGTCGGGCTGTATCACCGCCTGGTACAGCAACTGCACCGCCCGCAACCGCAGGGCTCTCCAGAGGGTGGTGTGGTCTGCCCAACGCATTACCGGGGGCTAACTACCTGCCCTCCAGGACACCTACTGCACCCGATGTCACAGGAAGGCCAAAAAGATCATCAAGGACATCAACCACCCGAGCCACTACCGGTTCACCCCGCTATCATCATAAAAAAATTAAAATAAAAAAAAATCATCCAGAAGGCGAGGTCAGTACAGTGTTTCATCAAAGCTGGGACCAAGAGACTGAAAACAGCTTCCATCTCAAGGCCATCAGACTGTTAAATAGCCATCACTAGCACATTAGAGGCTGCTGCTGCCTATAGAAATCACTGGCCACTTTAAGAAATGGAACACTAGTCACTTGTTTATAATGTTAACATATCTTGCATTACTCATCTTATATGTATATACTGTATTCTATAATATTCTACTGTATCTTAGTCCATGCCGCTCTGTCATTGCTCGTCCATATATGTATATATTCTTAATTCCATTCCTTACTTTGATTTGTGTGTATTGGGTATATGTTGTGAAATTGTTAGATCAGGGTTGCCCAACCCTGTTCCTGGAGAGCTACCCTCCTGTAGGTTTTCACTCCAACCCCAGGTGTTACTAACCTGATTAATCTTATCAACCTGCTAATTAGAGTCAGGTGTGCTAGATTAGGGTTGGAGCAAAAACCTACAGGACAGTAGCTCTCCAGGAACAGGGTTGGGCAGTCCTATGTTAGATATTACTGCACTTTCGGAGCTAGACGCACAAGCATTTCGCTACAACCACAATAACATCTGCTAAACATGTGTATGTGACAAATAATATTTGATTTGAAGGTAACCTGAATGCAGAGGAGTTATTTTGGGAAACACTGCTGTCATATGGACTCTCAAATCATCCAATTATAATTAATCACCAACTTCAGATACACCAGTGGAGAGGTGCTACACACTGAATAATGGAACTGAAATATTCAGGGACACACAATCTGTGTTTTTCTCACCTGCCCTCTGTACTAGTCTCCAATCCCTCCACCTCTATGATGGCCTCTCTGAGCTCGTCTCTGAGCCTCTGGATCTCCTGCAGCAGTGCTCCCTTCCTCCGGCGGATGTCCTCCAGCTCAGAGCGCTCCTCTGGACTCAGGTCTACCGGGACTGTAGGGATGGAGGGAGAAGAGGGGTGAGAGAATAAAGAGAGATCGGGATAGAAGGTGAAAATGGTGGAGACAGAGAGAACTAAGTTTGAATACTGAAATGTTTCAGGTCAATTCTAAGTCTGTTTGCTACAGTGCATTTCCAAGATGCTTTGAGTTTACTACTGAAACAATAAGAACTTTGAGTAAAATACATGTTTTCCCAAAACGATTCATATCCAATCCAATGTTCCTAACAATTGTTCAATTTCCTCTGCATCTCTCCCTCTCTATTCCTGCTCCTTTCTCCGCTCACTGACCTGTACCTAATTCCTCCATTTTGCTTGTCTGGTCAAATGGAAACTTCTGTGGAAAATTTGGCGGTCGATGATGTTTGTCTCATTGCAGCCTTGATATACTGGAGCACTCAACCTTACAGCGTATTCATCGATAAAGACAAGTTCACAGAGCTCAGAAAACCAACTAGTCTTGAATAGAAGTAGCCTATCCACACAGAACAAAAGTACAGTAGATAAGAGGAAAAACTAGTTTAAAATTAAATCAGCCGAAACACTGGCTGCAGGGCTTTCACTGAAACATTCCATGGAATCCTGACAATCTCTAACGTGACAGTGGGAGCGGTTAGACATGAAAAATACTAGTTGGGGACAGAAGAGATCTGCATAAAAAAAAAGTGAACTATGCAGGACAATTTGTCATAAAGAGTATCAATTCCAAATGACACTTCTCTATAGCTACTGTCAATTCTCAGATGTTTTCAATTCAACTAACTAAATGGATTAGGCGTGTCATCAGGGCTGCACTGATTTATGTAGCTTCTTCGCTCAGAGATAGATTTTCTTCTAGCACAGCACTAACTCACCTGGTTCGACTAATTATCAAGCCACTATCCAATTAGTTGTTCAGGTTAGGTGTGTTATTAGTGCTGGGCCTGGAACAAAAATGTGCAGTCCTTTGGGTCCCCTGCCTGGACTGGAGTTGAAAAATACAGAGGGACAGCATAGCTACACTGCTGCAAACCACAGTATTCCCTCGGTAGAGTGACCAAGCCACTACAGTGCCACCAGGCCGCGATGGGATTCATGTGTTTAGGAAGCTAAATGACATCTGCACGTCAACAACCCAGTTACCCCGCCCCTCAGAATGAGATGAATAACTAACGAGCTAGCTTATTCAATGCTTTGATTTTTGACGGACAGTGGGTGGGTTTAACGTCAAATAGAAACCAATATTGTAATGTATAACATTAGCTAGCTATTTGGATATGAGTGGTCAGACTACAATAAGTAGTTAACTACAACTACCTTCCTACAGGAAGACTAAAAAGAGTTAGCCAGCTTGCTAACAACCTCGCTAACTAGAGAGCTAACGTTAGCTAGTACTGTATTATTATCTTACGTCGGACTGCGACTGTATGGGACTCTCTTATGAGAAACGTATAACAAACAAAGATGACAACCATGCAGTACAATCTGAAATATAATGCATACAACGTTAATATTGTTTCGTGACAACTGGTGCTCTAATTGTGTAGTGAAATACCTGCTGCTACAACTAGCTGGCTAGCTGAGTGTGTTGTTATAAGACGTTAGCATAGCTTGTAGCGACTTACTGTAGTCCAGGTCATCCATTTTTGGCGCTTTGCTTTTAGGCATAAATATTTCAGAGTCGACTGTCATTCAATAAATGAAAAAAGAATGGATATATATTAAAAATATATCCTCCAAATAAAAAGGAAATAAATAAATAACCAGCCTTGCGTACCGAAACCCGGTGCACAGACAAAGGAGGTGGTGGTACAGGAAGTGACGCTAACTTTTTGTTATTAATAAATAAACACGTCCTCACTTTCGGCCATGTTTGTAAGGAACTTTTGAACCCAGAAAGAAGCCACACAACCAAAGACACTGATAACAATCCCCTTTTATCTATGACACAAACATCTGAGGTTGATTTGGCCCATTTACTAGAACTTGGTTTCTTTCCCAATAACTGCCTGGAAAAGGGGTCACTGTATGTTTTTATTAAAGGTCCAATGCAGCCGTTTTTATCTCAATATCAAATCATTTATGGGTAACAATTAAGTATCTTACTGTGATTGTTTTCAATTAAAATGATGAAAAATAAACTAAAATAACTTCTTAGCAAAGAGCAATTTCTCCAGCAAGAATTTTGCTTGGACTGTCTGGGAGTGGTCTGAGTGGGGCGGGAAAAATGTAATACTTGCTGTTATTGGCAAAGAAGTTTGGAACTCTCTTTCTTATTGGTCTATTAACTAATTTACCACATGGTGATGTCACCATGGAAAGGCCAAAGCTCCATCCCACCAAAAATGGCTGAAATTTTAGGTAGTCTTTTCAAACAGCTCTTACACTAAAAAGGGCATTATCATAATTTTCACAGTATTATTCCAACCTCAGTGTGGAAATATTTGTAAAACACAGGAAAATCAAGTTTTTGTCTGCACTGGGCCTTTAATGATTAGGTGAGGGACAATGTTCAGCACCTACTTCCTTATCATCACTGAGGAAAGATCAGGAGATGTGAACTCTCTCACAGGGCAGGCCTGCAGATCACATGGGCAACTACTTGATTATGTAATGTACTCTGGAGTGTCAAAGTACTCAAAATACAATTTGGACCTAGGGAAAACATCTGCCAATTTAGGTTTTTGCCTTACAGATGTCCAACACAAAGGGATGAGACATTGGTCTTTATAAAGACCCCCACCATGGATGAGTGTCAAGCAGGGGAAATGCATCCTTTCTCCTCCCTTTCTTTGGGTGATCCAGAAATGACTGTATTGTGGAAGGCAAGCTTCCCACCCTCTCACGTGTTTACAATCCAACCTTGTCAATTCAGTGATTACCCAAGGAAGGTAGCATTTCAATGTATTTGATCAGGCTCTCTGAGATGCAACAGAGACAGAGACGTATGAGTTTCAGGCTGGTTCAGGGATAATGTATCAAAAAGAAGGAGAGCCTACTTCAAAGAAGAGAGGAAGGGAGGCCATGGGAAGAGGAGGAGCCAGGGGGAGGCAATAACAAGATACTGTGGCAGGGGTAGATTAATCAGAGGAGAGGAGGGGGATGGAGGAAAGGAGGAAAAGTGTGAGGCATCAGCTTCCTTGTTTATCAGCAGACTGAGACTTATTAAAAACAGAGGACAGGCACTAGGGTTAGACATTGTTATCAAGTCACCTTTCAAACAATGGTCTCCCAGATAAATATGCTAAGAATGTTGTTGGTAGGGGTATTTTCCCTCTGTTAATGCAAATCATTCCAACGTGTACTAAACAGATACGCCACGCTTTTCCATAAACAACAAAACATGTTTGGTACTCCTGAGGGGGTTGATGCAAGAAAAATAACATTTTCTAGAGATAGAAACTTGTCTAAGATACCTTTATTATTTTAAGGTAAAACAAAACATTTTTAAAAACACTTTTAACTATGAACTGTACATTATATGTATATTATATATTTTAATTTTAGTAATAATTACAAGTTTATCACAGGCAAATCCATCTATAGACAATACATCTTACTGGCATTATCAAGGGGTCACACCTAGGGTTGCAAAATTTCAATAAATTCCTTGGTTTTCCCGAAATCCCGGTTGGAGTATTCTCCGAATCTGGCAGGAATAAACATGAAATCCGGGAGCCTCCAACCAGGAGTTCTGGAAAACCAGGGAATTTATTGAAAGTTCACGGAATTTTGCAACCCTAGTCAAACCCCAACATTGTCATATCAAATTGCTCTAACACATTGTTGTCCCAACCCTGGTCACAGACACTGAGCAGTACATCAGGTTTCAATTGTCACAGCGAGTCTTTTAAAATTGAGAGTAAATAGTTTTGTAATTATATCCCAAAAATGTGATAATGCACTGACACCAGCCCAGAACCACCAATCCAGTCTTGTGTTGTGAAATGTTTTATCCTCAGGCCATAGAAAGAGGGAAGCTTGGTGTATATCCTGTCAATTTACCTTGTATGACCAGGGATGGACAGCTTTGGTCTAGGGACCAAGGCCCCGTTTGAAATGAAATACTTTAAAAAATGGATCCATTCCTTCCTTAAAGTAATCACTGATAAACTAACTGATCAGCAACACTGCATCAGCAAGGATTGTATCACATAGCCTTCACCTATCAAGTCATGTGATATCAGGGATTACTCAGAGGAACGGAGGAAAGGCTGCATCTGAAAGTATTTGAACAGGGCCCAAAATCAGCCGGCAAGAGAACACAAGAGGCCTTGAATTACTCAGACATGACTAATCCATATCAAGGGGCCAGGGGGTACTGTGGACCAAACAGACCCGAGCAGTCAAACATGGCATAACTGATTGATACATGCTCATGAGATTAAATTCCTGACATATTACATTTGTTCCGGTCACAAATACATAAGAATCATATACTTTTGAGGTTAACTAAAACACCCGTTCAACATAGACATACTACATATAGGCTACATCCCATTGAGAAAGCCATTTCTGAAATGTAGGCTATGATTTGAGTTGGGAGGCACAGCCTTGTCAGTGATCAGCTAATCAATCATTTTCTGAGTTTATGTTGTCCGTTAAGGAAGATTATAACTCTCCTATGGAAACTTTATCTGCTTGTCATGTAGTAAATAACACCAGCAAGACAAGTTCACCTTGTTCCTTTCAACAGCAATCTTTATCTAAAAGGTCAAATTGAGTGGATTTTCTGCAACTGCACAACACTTCAGAATCGATTCACAATTATATACATTAAAACAGACTACAATAGAGGTATGTAAAAAGGCAGTTTACACGTGTGGAACAAGTGACTGTTTGCTGAATACAACCAGCATTCTGGGTCTTCTTGAGACTTTGAGGATTCCGTGACAACATACAAGAAACTCGATCAAGCAACAGTCTCGTGTTCACTGTGTTGCAACTTCATAATCTAGCGTCATCATCATCATCATGCACCCTTCTTGCTAAGAAAAACAGGCAAATGCACTATACACCATGATGGCTACTGTTCAACAGTCCCATCTATCCTACTATTGTGGAATACCTGTGAATAAGGACTCAATGAGCTTTATATTTATTTAAATGTTGATCCAACTTTACTGGCTTATTCTAGGAGTAATTGTCTCCATGGGATTGCTAATAAACCTCCTCTGTTCACTGATATTTCATACACACTGAACTGACACCACAGTATGCTCAGCAGCTTTGCTTTGTTTTTCCTGTAGTGGACGTTCCCCTCTGATATACCTGGATGGCAGAGGAGGCTGGTGGGAGGAGCTATATGAGGATGGGCTCATTGTAATGGAAGAATGGAATAACGTGGTTGATGGGTTTGATACCGTTCCATTTACCCCATTCCAGTCTTTACAATGAGCCCGTCCTCCTATAGCTCCTCCCACCAGCCTCCTCTGGTGAATGGAGATTTGCAGAGTCGTAGGTTTAGGCTTCTTATATAAGACAGAAAGGGCAAAGTCACAGGAGTTGTACTTTAAGGCATTACAGGGAAGGACGGAGGATCCAAAACGGAACGGGATCTACATTTGCATGAGGGTGTGGCTCCCTCTGAAGTAGTTCTAGAACTAGAACTGTTCTAGGACAGCGTTGATAGTTCTGATTTAGAACTAGAACTGTTCTAGGACAGCTTTGATAGTTCTGATTTAGAACTAGAACTGTTCTAGGACAGCTTTGATAGTTCTGATTTAGAACTAGAACTGTTCTAGGACAGCTTTGATAGTTCTGATTTAGAACTAGAACTGTTCTAGGACAGCTTTGATAGTTCTGATTTAGAACGGTTCTAGGACAGCATTGATAGTTCTGATTTAGAACTAGAACGGTTCTAGGACAGCTTTGATAGTTCAGATTTCTTTGTTCTCTATCTCTGTAAGGCAAGGTCAGGAAATGTGCATCTCTGCCTGCCATGTGTGCATACTAGAATGTATACACCACACACGTGCACTGAATACACACTCCCCCATACACATTCAACTTATTTTTTCCCCTATCTTTTTCCCATGGCTATGCAGGTTCACGCTTCTCAGGGGAAACGGAGTGTAATCCAACAGCTGTGCAACAAAGCTAGTTTTCATCCGTTAAAAAAATTCTCTATTAATCCCTCGGTTCGCATGCTGCCCGACGCGCTGCTCAGCAGGTGATCCCTTCCACTAAACCCCAGAAATGATTCAGGCTATTTTCAGTCTCTCAGAGGATTTTTTCTCCTCTTTCTCTGAACACAGATGGCAACAGAGATTATTAATTGGAGAGAGCGCCGTATCAGCCGATCAAATGAGCCAATCCCTGGTCAGAATCAGGTGATCTTCACTCCAGAGTCGCCGACGATGAGCCGGGACATGGAGGGATGGACCTGAGGGAGACAAACCCATAAAGTGATTAGTATAATACTTTAGAGAAGGGAACTAAAGATAGGTCTCAGAAGTGTATAATGTGATTATTAATATACCAAAGAAAACATAAAAGATAACCACAGAATCTCACAGCTTTTGTTGCACTGAAGTGATAGGCCATCAGCAAGGGTTTAATATAATACAGGCAAAATACAGAGGGTAACATCGTACCAAAGACAATCCACCAGTTCAGTACTATAAGATGTGGAGTGGATTTACATGCACTTACGAGCTGGGATTGTTAGTGAAAAGACTTAAAAAGAAAAGCTTTTGAAATCAGATAAAAAATCTTAGTAACTGCTTTTATCTTCACTGTACACACTCCCTCCAGCCCTCCCCACTCCATCGCTCTCTCTACCTGTGCCTGCAGCGGGCCGTAGGGCACCATTTCCCCGTCCACAGTGAGTGTTCCTCGTGGGGAGAGGGGCTGCAGCCTGAAGGCCCTGGCTGGGACATGGCTCACATACGGGGAGCTGAGAGACAGATGGGCCCCCCTCTCCATGGCCAGGAACAGACGGAGCAGGGTGGCTCTGGAGATCCCTGCCCGCACAAACGTCAGGTGGATCAGCCCGTCATCAAACTTGGCTTGGGGGGCGGCATGGAGGTCTGCCCCAAGATGGGACTGGTAGATGGCCAGCACAAGCACAAAGTCCCCCTCGATGGTCACCCAGTCCCGGGTGGGCAAGGGCTGGTCCAAGGGGGGCAGGAGGTCATCCCTGGGGGGGTTGAAGGGGAGGGAGATGGGGGGGCGGTTCTTGAGGGGCCCGGCAGGCTCGGCAATGTCAAAGGTAAAGGAGGGGGAGGGGTGACTGGAGAGACGGGGAAGGGGAGGTGGAGTTGGGGGTGTTGGGGCGCGGAGCGAGGTAGGAGGAAGAGTGGGGGGAGGCGCAGGAGGGGGAGGAAGGGGGCGTGGGAGAGAGGGAGAGGGACAGGGAGGGGAGTTTGGGGGGTAGGGAGTTGGAGTGAGGGTGGTGGAGGAGGGATAAGGGTCTGGGGCGGGATGCGTTCTGGTCCAGCGTTTTGGGCTTGACGGAGAAAGGAGAGTGTCTGAAGGGAGAGGATATGGTGAGGGCTCTCTCCCGGGCAATGTCCAGTGGGTAGGCTTCTTTCTGGAAGTATGTCCCGTTCAGATCCATCTCTTCTGCCCTGTACGAGGCTCCAGACACAGGGTCAGCCTCCTGGCTGAGGGGCTGGCTAAAGAAGGCATTTGCTATCTGGCTGGAGGGGGCAGAGTTCTTCCTTACAGCCTGTCTGGTCTGCTGGAGGTTGTCTGGGTACGAATAACACCCCTCTGGGTCCTCATTGGCCTCTCGCCCTACGTCCACCACATACCCCTCTCCTACCTCCTTCGCTTCCATCACCCCATCCATCGAGCCGCTGCAGCCTTCCCCATCCCTCACTCTCTCCTCTTCCTCCATCTCCCCTGAGTCCTGCTCTATCTTTCCGTCTTCTCTTTCCTCACCTTGCCTTTCTTCCATGTTCCCCGTCATCCCATCCTCCCTTCCCATCCTGCAATCTTCCCTTTGTTCGACTCCGAACTTGTCCCTGACCTCTCCGCCTCTCCCTCCTTCCCCACCTCCCTCTCCATCTCTCTCTCTCTATCCTCTGCCAAGCTACTCGCCCTGACCACCCCCGTTCCCCCTCCCCTGGCCCTCTCCCTCCTTCTCTCCCTCTCCATCTCTCTCTCTCCCTCTCTGTGTCTACCCTCCTCAGACTCCTCTGTTCGCTGAGGCCCATGTCAGAGCTGGTGCGGTGGATGGGGGTGCGGCAGAAGCCCTCCAGGCCCTCAGTGATGCTGCGGGACAGGGGTCTGCGCTGGGGCGGAGGGCTGGCGTCTGGGGATGTGGCGACTATGGAGGGGGGCAGGTAGGACAGACGGCCCTTATAGGAGCGCAGGGAGGCCAGGCGGACCAGAGTGCCCAGGGTGAACCGTGCCGAGCCCAGACCCCGGTACCTGCAACAGCACACCATTACAACATTTAGTTACCAGGGCAACACCAGAGAATAAAACACAACTTATTCATTAGGAATAAGTGTGATTAAGGTAGTACAGTGAAAGATTGCATCTACTTAACTTAAGGACTTGGCTGAGCGACCGAAGGTAACCGCCCTGTCCCGTCCCCCTGGAAGCCTCTTCCCCAGAGCTAAAGAACCCAATCACGTTCTGCCCATGGGTTTAGTTTGCACACACATCCACCTCCCTTCACATGTCTCCCTTTACTCACCCTCTCCTGAACCCTTCCTATCAACCATTTTGATGGACATGATGATGTAGCCTACGTCTCTGCCTCATATTTCTGAACAGCTGATATAAAACCTGCAGCTATTTGAACCAGCATTCTAAATATATATATATTAGTATTCTAATTTAGGATGTAGGCGACAACTTTTGTCTGTTGTAACTAAGGATATTGCAGTAGCACACGTAGGAAGCAGTCTACACATTGCATTGGGACAAAAACAAAATCTGTATTTAAACCACAAATGACTTACAACTGTAATTTTGCTTCTTAATGATCATGCAAGTACTGCACGATTTGATGATGACTGAAATTTGCCTGGGCAGCCGACCATTCAACTACTACTTTGACTGCCTGTCTGCCTCCTGCTTAGCCAATGTTTCCAATGATGATGGAAAAACACTGCCCATTAGTGTTCTGCTTGTGTTTGATACGGTGCGGCAGCAGAGGGAACAGTAAAATAGAGAATCCCGCACATGTGCAGACGCTTCGGTTGTTTAGCTATCGGGAAGAGGACTCCAGAGAATTCGGCACCGCAGCCACTCCATTAACTTAAACACACACACCTCTCACTCTCGATGTCCACGTCAGACACAAAGCCCCAGGCCACAGACAGAAAGGAGAACATCCTTCTGGGGAGACCCGGGCGGCCATTTTGAGAAGGGGCGGGGCTGGTTGTCACAGAGACCAAGTCCATGGGCTTGACTCCGCCCCGGCAGAGCTGAAAGCAGCAGTTGATGAGGAGAGGCTCCCGAAGGCACATGTCATAACTGGGATGAAGAGAAAAGAAAGAGGGAAACAGTGGATGGAAGGGAGAGGAGGGATGTAGAGAGGAGAGAGGGAGAGATGGAAGAGAATGGAGAAAGGGGGAGAATGTGGAGAGGGAGGAAAGATGGAGGGGGAGACGAATGGAAAATACAGAGAAAGGGAGGGAGAGAGGAAAGGTGAGAGGAGGACATTAATACTGTGTAATATAAGTTAACATAATGTTTATGACTTACACAATCAGTGAATGTTATGTAGGTGGACTAACAAACCATCATAAAGACAACACAAGAGATAAGGAGAGAGAGATGAAAGAACAGACTGTACTTATTGACTGGACTCATTTATTGAAGTGTCTTCCAGAGATAAAGTCTAGAAATAACAAGACATGAAGAGAGGGAGGGAGGGAGGGAATGGGGGGTCAGGAGAGAGAGGGAGGGAGGGAATGGAAGGCAGGAGAGAGAGGGAGGGATGGAATGGTGGGCAGGAGAGAGAGGGAGGGAGGGAATGGTGGGCAGGAGAGAGAGGAGGGAGGGAATGGTGGGCAGGAGAGAGAGGGAGGGAGGGAATGTGAGGCAGGAGAGAAGGAGGGAGGGAATGGTGGGCAGGAGAGAGAGAGGGAGGGAGGGAATGGTGGGCAGGAGAGAGAGAGGGAGGGAGGGAATGGTGGGCAGGAGAGAGAGGGAGGGAGGGAATGGTGGGCAGGAGAGAGAGGGAGGGAAGGGAATGGTGGGCAGGAGAGAGAGGGAGGGAGGGAATGGTGGGCAGGAGAGAGAGGGGAGGGAGGGAATGGTGAGGAGGAGAGAGGGGAGGGAGGGGAATGGTGGGCAGGAGAGAGGGAGGGAGGGAATGGTGGGCAGGAGAGAGAGGGAGGGAGGGAATGGTGGGCAGGAGAGAGAGAGAGGGAGGGAGGGAATGGTGGGCAGGAGAGAGAGGGAGGGAATGGTGGGCAGGAGAGAGAGGGAGGGAGGGAATGGTGGGCAGGAGAGAGAGGGAGGGAGGGAATGGTGGGCAGGAGAGAGAGGGAGGGAGGGAATGGTAGGCAGGAGAGAGAGGGAGGGAGGGAATGGCTACCTGGACTATTTGCACTGCCCCCCCACCCCATCCTTTTACGCTGCTGCTACTCTGTTAATTATTTATGCAGTCACTTTAACTCTACCCACATGTACATATTACTTCAACTACCTCAACTAGCCGGTGCCCCCGCACATTGACTCTGCACCGGTACCCCCCTGTATATATAGCCTCCCTACTGTTATTTTATTTTACTTCTGCTCTTTTTTTCTCAACACTTTTTTTGTTGTTGTTTTATTTTTACTTTTTTGTTAAAAATAAATGCACTGTGGTTAAGGGCTGTAAGTAAGCATTTCACTGTAATGTCTGCACCTGTTGTATTCGGCGCATGTGGAGGAGGAGGAGAGAGAGGGGGGGAATGGGGAGGGACGGGAGAGGGAGGGATGGGGGAGGAGAGAGTGAGGGAAGGAGGAAGGTCCATGGGAAGGTCAGAGAAGAGAAGTCTAACGGTTAGGAGCGAGAGGGGGGAGGGATGGGGGAGGAGAGAGATAAGGAATGTGGGCAGGAGGAGATAGGGAATGGGAGTACTTTAATAAGGCCAATCGGCTGTACATCAAGAAACTGAAGTCTAAAGGTTGACCTTGATTAGAATTAAGGTTGGGCGATATTTGGGGAGACCTCTTCTACGATATGCTACTTCAAATATTGTGATATCCAATATAATAGTTTTGCGCCGTTACTGACTAGATCATTCCAGACTGTGCAAGTTTTGTCCTCATTTATGATATTGTAGTCACACACTCATTAAATAATCTTTGTATGGCAAAAAAATAAGTCTTAGTTAATTTATTTAGACTTCATTTTCAACATATTGATACATCCTAACTGATAAGACTGCATCGCTTTTATTTTTTAAAGTTCAAATACAGAAGTTTTGCACATCACGATATATCGCCAATGGCAAACATCCCGATATAATCATATATCGGCCCAACCCTAATTAGAATGCACACCTTTTATTACCAATGAAAACTACTGTGGGTGTGTGTGTGACTGTAAGGGTGTGTGTTTATCAACATCGAGAAATGTATCGAGTGGTTGATGAATGAATTTGAGGCGGAGAGAAATGATTCATTCATTCCAGACACACCATGGGACCAGAGCCCTGAACTGGAATAACCTTTTTCTCATTTCAATGCTTCTACTAGTATCTCCAGCATTCTCACCATTGATCTAACAAGAAATTCTAGAATATTGCATGTTTAGGTTTGAATCAGTCTCATATCTCTGGATCAGCATTTTGGTCAAGACATTACATGTGTCACATAGCGGTTGGATGTGTGTGTGTGACCCACCCTGCGTGGTGGTTGATGGAACCAGCCAGGGCATTTCCAGAGCCACAGGGCAGGATACCTACAGGTATCTTTATGGCTAGTTCCCAGTCTGGACGCTCCATCAAACCATTGATCACCTGGAGAGAGAAAAGCAGAGCAGAGTCAGACACACACACACCCCACACACCCCCCCTCCACACACACCCACCTCGTGCAGCAGGCCGTCTCCAGAGACGATGATGATGCCGTCCCACTGTGGCAGGGAGATCTCTTTGATCAACTCTCTGGCATGGTTCTGTCGCTCTGAGGAGAAGAGGAGACGTGTTGTTAGGAGGTTGTACCTGTGTGTGTGTGATACTTGCAGAGCTGAGTTCCTTGTGGTGTTCCTTTTCTGTAATCAGGTTGTAGCTGATGGTTACGGTTGTTGTGGTTCCTGTCTGTATCAGTTGTGCTGATTTTACGGTGGTGTGTAACCTGTCTGTACAGGTTGTAGCTGATGTTCCGGTGTGTGTACCTGTCCTGTATCAGTTTAGCTGATGTTACGGTGTGTGATGTTCCGGTGTGTGTTACCTGTCTGTATCAGGTTGTAGCTGATGTTCCGGTGTGTGTTACCTGTCTGTATCAGGTTGTAGCTGATGTTACGGTGTGTGTTACCTGTCTGTATCAGGTTGTAGCTGATGTTACGGTGTGTGTTACCTGTCTGTATCAGGTTGTAGCTGATGTTCGGTGTGTGTTACCTGTCTGTATCAGGTTGTAGCTGATGTTCCGGTGTGTGTTACCTGTCTGTATCAGGTTGTAGCTGATGTTACGGTGTGTGTTACCTGTCTGTATCAGGTTGTAGCTGATGTTTGCCTCTCTGATCATTGGCAGGATGTGTGTCTGACACCATTGCATGGCCTGGCCCCTCCCACTGAAGGGGTTCACCAATAGCAGCAGCCTTCGGGGTCGGGGCAGTAGACGTTTGCCGATTTCTGCGGGAAAGCAAACAATCATTAGAATCAAATGTATTGATTGTTATATTAAAAATACAAGGCTTCATCTTCACAGTGTAAAAGAGAACAACAAAAGTAAGTGATAACATAAAGGTGGGTCCCCCCCCCTGGAGGGCCCCAGGACCGAGTTTGGGAAACCCTGCCATAAAGCACAGTGTTTCCCAGACCTTGAGTGTATCTGTGACAAGGCAAACCTCTTTCAGCTCATCTCAAAGGGCCTATCTCTGACCACATAAGTAATAATGATTCCATTTGACTAATGGCTCAATATAATTAAATATTCTAGAATGAAAAGGCACTCAAGGCCCAGGACAGGGAAACAAGGTATTTAACTGAACACTAAAGTGTATAGTCTTAACAAGCAGAGCCCTATCTACACAGCAGCACCTACTGTATAGGGTTGAAGTGGACCAAACTAACTGCACACATCTCTGACTAAAGCCACTATAGAAGCAGAACCAGCAGCTAGGACGTTGTCTAATTCACACTGCAGAGGAGAGGAAAACAGAGCAACAAAATAGAGACAGAGTACAAGGAGAGAGAGATACAGACAAACAGACAGACCGTGGAGACAGAGTTACAGACAAACAGACAGACCGTTGAGACAGCGTTACAGACAAACAGACAGACCGTGGAGACAGAGTTACAGACAGACAGACCTTGGAGACAGAGTTACAGACAGACAGACCTTGGAGACAGAGTTACAGACAGACAGACCGTGGAGACAGAGTTACAGACAAACAGACGGACCGTGGAGACAGAGTTACAGACAAACAGACAGACCGTGGAGACAGAGTTACAGACAAACAGACAGACCTTGGAGACAGGACAGCGAGTTAGACAGACAAAAACAGACAAGGACCTTGGAGACAGAGTACAGACAGACAGAGTGGTACAGACAAACAGACAGACCTTGGAGACAGAGTTACAGACAAACAGACAGACCGTGGAGACAGAGTTACAGACAAACAGACAGACCGTGGAGACAGAGAAGGGAGAGAGAGAAGGAGAGAGAGGGAGACGAGGAACAACGATGAAGAGAAGAGGGGAGAGATGTGAGAGGAGACAGAAGAAGGAACGTGAGAAGGAGAAAAAGGAGGAGAGAGGAGACAGGACAGAGGAGAGAAGGGAGAGGAGAGAGAACGTGGAGAGGACAGGAAGGGAGGAGGGGGAGGAGAGAGAACAGAGGAGAGGCGAAAGAAGAGAGGGAGGAGGAAGAGAGAGGAGGAGAGAGAGAGGGCAGGAGAGAGGATGAGGAGAGGAGGAAGGGAGGAGAGGAGAGGAGACGGGAGGAGGAGAGGAGACGGGAGGAGGAGGGAGAGGAGACGGGGAGGAGGAGAGGAGACGGGAGGAGGAGAGGACAGGAGACGGGAGGAGGAGGACAGGAGAAGGAGAGGAGACAGGAGGAGGACAGGAGACGGGAGGAGGAGGAGAGGAGAGGAGAGACGGAGGAGGAGAGGGAGAGGGAGGAGGAGAGAGGAGACGGGAGGGAGGAGGAGAGGAGAGGGAGACGGGAGGAGGAGAGGAGACGGGGAGGGGGAGAGGAGACGGGGGGAGAGGGAGAGGGGGGAGGAGAGGAGAGGGGGAGAGGACAGGAGACGGAGGAGAGGAGAAGAGAGGACATGACAGAGGAGAGAGAGAAAGCAGGGACAGGAGGAAGGGAGGTGAGGAGAGGACAGGAAGGAAAAGAAAGGAACAGGGGAGATAGAGGAGGAGAGGAGACGGGAGGAGGAGAGGAGACTGAAAAAGGTGTAAAGACAGCAAGGATGAAAGACTTAGGGAGGGAGGATGTACAGACAGACACTGAGGGTGTAGACTAATGCATAGAGACAGTGAGGAGAGGAGAGAGAGTGTTTGAGAGAGAGGAAGGAGACAGAGAGAGATAATGAGAGAGGGAGAGTCAACACAAGAGGGAAAACAAAAGGAAAAAAAGGGAATGTTGAAATGGATAATGGATGCTTTATGTAGGGATTGGAGTTCTTCCAGGTCTTCAAAGTGCTAAAAAGAGACAGCAATGTGAGAAACGGTGACAGATGAAAAAAGCAAAATGAAGGGAGAGTACGAGACAGAGGGACGGAGAGAGAGAGAGAGAGCATTTACTGTATATACAGTGCATTCGGAAAGTATTCAGACCTCTTGACTTTTTGTTACGTTATATCCTTATTCTAAAATTGATTAAATAATTTTTCCCCTTCATCAATCTACACACAATATCCCATAATGACAAAGCAAAAACAGGCTAAGAAATTTTAGCAAATTTGAAGATAAAAACAACTGAAATATCATATTTACATAAGTATTCAGACCCTTTACTCAGTACTTTGTTGTAGCAACTTTGGCAGCAATTACAGCCTTGAGTCTTCTTGGGTATGACACTACAAGCTTGGCAGATCTGTATTTGGGGAGTTTCCCCCTTCTTCTCTGTAGATCCTCTCGAGCTCTGTCAGGTTGGATGGGAAGCGTTGCTGCACAGCTATTTTCAGGTCTCTCCAGAGATGTTAGATCGGGTTCAAGTCCGGGCCACTCAAGGACATGCAGAGACTTGTCCCGAAGCCACTCCTGCGTTGTCTTGGCTGTGTGCTTAGGGTTGTTGTCCTGTTGGAAGGTGAACCTTTGCCCCAGTCTGAGGTCCTGAGCGCTCTGGAGCAGGTTTACATCAAGGATCTCTCTGTATGTTACTCTGTTCATCTTTCCCTTGATCCTGACTAGTCTCTCAGTCCCTGCCGCTGAAAAACATCCCCACAGCATTATGCTGCCACAACCGTGCTTCACCGCAGGGATGGTGCAAGGTTTCCTCCAGACGTGACGCTTGGCATTCAGGCCAAAGAGTTAAATCTTGGTTTCATCAGACCAGAGAATCTTGTTTCTCATGGTCCGAGTCCTTTAGGTGCCTTTTGGCAAACTCCAAGCGGGCTGTCATGTGCCTTTTACTGAGGAGTGGCTTCCGTCTGGTCACTCTACAATAAAGGCCTGATTGGTGGAGTGCTGCAGAGATGGTTGTCAATTCTGGAAGGTTCTCCCATCTCCACAGAGGAAATCTGGAGCTCTGTCAGAGTGACCATCGGGTTCTTGGTCACCTCCCTGATTCAAGGCCCTTCTCCCCCGATTGCTCAGTTTGGCCGGGCGGCCAGCTCTAGGAAGAGTCTTGGTGGTTCAAAACTTCTCCCATTTAAGAATGATGGAGGCCGCTGTGTTCTTGGGGACCTTCAATGCTGCAGTCATTTTTTGGTACCCTTCCCCAGATCTGTGCCTCGACACAATCCTGTCTCGGAGCTCTACGGACAATTCCTTCGACCTCATGGCTTGGTTTTGCTCTGACATGCACTGTCAACTGTGGGACCTTATATAGACAGGTGTGTGCCTTTCCAAATCATGTCCAATCAATTAAATTTTGCCACAGGTGGACTCCAATCAAGTTGTAGAAACATCTCAAGGATGATCAATGGAAACAGGATGCATCTGAGCTGAATTTCGAGTCTCATAGCAAAGGGTCTGAATACTTATGTAAATAAGGTATTTCCGTTTTATTTTATACATTTGCAAAAAATTCTAAAAACCTGTTTTCGCTTTGTCATAATGGGGTATTGTGTGTAGATTGATGAGGAAAAAATGTATTTAATCAAATTTAGAACAGGGATGTAATGTAACAAAATGTGGAAAAAGTCAAGGCGTCTGAATACTTTCCGATTGCACTGTAGATCGAAAGAACCACACAGGCCGTGGGTAAACAGTGGTGTTGCTATCTGGGCAGGGCGGGAGATAGTGGGACGGGAGAGATGCTGTGTTGGTGAGGGGTGGGAGTTAGTGGGAAGGGAGGGATGCTGTGTTGGTTAGACGCTGAATGATACAGACTGTGTGTGCAGGACAGATAAGAGCAGAGACAGAGAGAGAAAGTAGAGGAAATTAAGTGTTAAAGGGATAACATAGCATACACACACAGCCAAGGATATTTAAATAACATGTTTCTTCACATACAGTACCAGTCAAAAGTTTGGACATACTTTACATGAATGAACCCTTAAACAATACATTAGCCTTTCAATAGTCAGCATACCGAACTGAACATAAAATGCTGTATGTATGGCCTTATACAGTACAACAGCATTGGCCTATATCCATTCATTCCTTATCACATGTTCATTATACAGTTGTCTACGTCCATTATGCAGTAGCCTATATCTACCATGGTCAGAAATACACTGAACTAGCCTATATCTGTTAGAACATGCATTGCATTCATACAGTAGACTAGGCCTATATTAATCTGTATCCTCTGGCCTCCTACATCAAGAGGACCTCAGGTCACCCCATATGACTCCAGTTAACAATAACTAACACACTCATTTATGGAAACAAACTTTATGGAGTGAATGGTGCTCTTAAAGTTAATTAACGCACAGCTAAAGTCTGTACACAGGACAGGAAGTAGTCGGTGCCAAATGCCATAACGAGTGCTGATTTGGCTTTATGCTCTCTCATGGTGACACTTTGCCAGTCTTTATGATGGGCATTAGGGAATATCTGACTTTGATTCCAACAACTGGGATGTAACAATAACCTCAGAACCTCCACACATTGTGCCTGGACTGTAACATAGCATACAAACAGACAAGATAACTGATTAGTAGCTGTGTTAGTGGAACACACACACCTGTAGCACAAGTGCCACACTCACCCGTGTCAGCAGTGATGGCGACTCCCCTGAGCAGACATTGTATAGCAATGGACCACATCTCAGCCTCCACCCTGGCTTCAGCCAGGTATGCCCTCACCTGCCTCCTCCTGGACACCCCCTTCCTCCGCCTCCCTGGGGGATACCAGTATAGAACCAGCAAGGGGGGAGCGGGGGCGCGGGGACAGCTGCACCCTGCCAGCTCTGACAGGGGTAGTATTAGACGCGCCTCTTTACCAGGACGGGGGGCCAGGCGCTGGACGTGGATGTGGGAGGGGGTGAGGGTCAGGGCGTAGCTGGAGGTAGGAGAGGAGCTGGGGGAGGGAGAAGGGGACGACAGACCCCCAGGACCTCCAGGGCTGTTGGGGCAGCTGTTGTTGTTGCTGCTGCTGCCCGTGCCCCAGCCCCCGAACTGGCCGTAGAGTAGCACCTCAGCTGGGGATGGGATGGGGGGCTCTGGGGAACGCATCCTTAGTGTGGGGGGCTTGGCGGGTAGAGGACTTCAATCCCTCAGGTTTGGGAAGGTAAGGTATGTTTCCCGACAAGTGGACGGTGTGTGAGTGTTTCATGCAGTTGCCAGTTTGTTGGATGGAATAAGTCAGTTTAAATTCAGGTAGTGATACACGTTAGTTCATTTGGCCCACTGATGGCCACCTTAAAGGAGAATCAAATGGAAGCACCTGTCCTCAGGATCTGTTAGGAAGACCAAAATATAACTATAGACCTGTAGGTCTGTCTCAAAAACTAAAACAGAAGTTATTTATCCCGGAAACCTCCTTAAAATCATTCTTCCACTTCAGTGCTTGAATTGCAGAGGCAACGCCACAAAAACACCTCTGAGTTTGACGTGTGAAACCATCTGCACTCAAAGGAGTATTGTATGATCTGAGAAAAATAACTCTCACTGGCCTTCAGATGGAGATTCTTCTCTTTAGTGTGTCAATCCAACAGAGGAACAGATACAAAATTAAAAACACCAGCCTTTACAATGCAAATGCCTGAAGACAACGATAGATCTTAGATCTGTCCATTCCAGATGATGTCTTGTCCTTAAATGCTATCAGATTCTAGATTTGTCCATTTCGGAATGATCGATAGACAAGGCTTGGTAAACAAAAAATATTCACCCTTTCCAGTTTAAAATTAAAACAGAATATATATACACAAAGATTACAAAAATAGATATAACGCAAAGAAATGCTTAAATTACAGTTTGAAATATCTTAGTGTGGATATTTATCAATAAAGTGCAACTTAGAAAAGACGGCTACAAGTCAAACAAGAGTTTAAATAACAAATATATTAAAACGTAAAACAATCAATCATAAACTATGAATCAGACAAAAATGAACACACCTTGGTCTTGCAAGGAGGCTATAGCAATTTACTTAGCACTAGATTGCGGTGGAATATTGCGTGGTAAGTGCTGATGTCAAACGTCCCGGTCTTCCACAGATATGAGAGATATGTGGAGGCAGGAGAAAGGTGTGTCAAGGTAGAATTTAAATATCACTCCTCAAGAGACAAGCAGGCTTTACAGTAGTGAGATAGCTACGCAATCATTGTCCAATTCCAAGTGTCACATGAATGAAAAATGCCACGTAATCATAGTTGTATTCCATCAAAGACAGAGATGGAAAACAAGAGAAAACAGAAAAAAACTCAAACAAAAATGTTACTAGATTGTGCCTGGGGGGGTTATGTCATGGTAATGTCATTCCTTGAGTTCAAGGGTCCATTTTCATGTTCCTTCACATTGATATGTATACCTATAGAGAAAAAACAGGGAGAGAAACACTGGTATTAGCAATCTATTAGCTTCCAATGTCTTCCAGCAGAAAATACTCAGTCTATATATTCAAGTGTTGAAGAGCATAAAGGAAGTGACTAGTATCAATTAAATTACCCATTAAACACAACTAATAGTTTGATGGTTGTAGCCATCAATTGTCCCATTAACAATCACCCATATTAGCTAACTTATTTAATTTCAAACTCCACATTTCTCTAGTGTAGGCTAGTACTTATCGTAATGAACAATATCAGTAAAATGCCTGCTATAAGTGATCGGTGTCGATAATTTTTCGGTTTATCATCCCAGCTCTAGTATCAATGGCACTCTACCCAAAAGTACCTTCATGTTTCATTGACAAAGACATGTGCAGTGCAGCAACACCTTGTAAGGGAGTCATTATGAAAACAATAGAACAGTAGAAAACTAGAAGGAAATTACTTTCAAATTAACTTTTCCAACAATCCAGCTGAGTGACAGACAGGCTTCCAGACCATGTCCTCTCTCCACATGTCCTGCTTCTAACTTTAGAGTGGTGTGTATGCGTGTGTTTAACAGTCCGATACACTGTTTTATATTGTTCCAAAAGGTGAGTGACTCATTGGCCAATTGCAGAAGTGAAAGCAGGGCAGCAAACTCGTGAGAGATTGTGGTTTAAATTTGATTAGGCAAACTGTCTGTGTGCGTGCATTATCCCTATGTCCAGTATCCCTTGAAGTCATGCCCTGGCAGCTAAACCACACTGACTTAGAATCACACATCCCTGACATCTGTGCTCACTGATGAGACAACCTAATTTGGGGAAATGAACACTGGTTTATTACCGCTATGCCTGATGAAATTAACTGAGTTTGGTGACGGATGGTGTTTGTCCAGACAGTCTTAAGTCTTACTCTCTTTCACAATTTGTAACCAGCGGAAGTGTGATTCATAAACAGATGATTGCCCAGGACTGGCTTTGGCAGGCATAACTTCAAGCGACATCCACTATAGTTTACTCAGTCATCACCATTTTCTTCTTTACACTGTTACTAATGAAATAGTATGGACTGAAAACACAATGTGCTGGTTGTCACGTAGCCTGGAAAACCTTAATTCAAGGAAATAGTGCCTATCATATTCAGAGATCATAGACTATAAAACAAAATGGACCCATAAGAGGCTTTCCGTTGAGTATTAACTGCTATGTTCAGCCGAGAGTTTTTATCTAAGGTGCTGACACAATCAATACTTGGCAGATATGCAGCCTCTGATAAAAAAAAAAACGTAACTTGGTGCATTTGCTCGTGCCAATTATTACATCTTGTGTCCTTGAAATGCAGGGTGGCAGGTATTGCCCCTCTAATTTTGTCTTACAATGACCGTGCAGACTGGGCTCGGAACATTTAGGATCCATTTGGCAGTCTTGCACACATTGTTTAGCAATGGGGGATCCTTTCTCAGATGGCTAGCTAGCAGGATAGAGCGACAGACAAATAACTTTGGCTTAGAATGAAGCCATGTAGTTACAAGTTAGCAATATGACAAGAGTTAACTACAGTTAGCTAGCTAACGTTAGTTATGAATAGTAATCATTGCTCAGCACAGTCTACTCTGTGTTTAACTCTTGCTAACTATATGATAAGTTAGCGAGCTACTTCTGACGTTTCAAATGGTTATAGTTAGCCATGTTGATTGTGTTGACTGGTAGCTATCGCCAGGGAATACAGTATACAAACAAAAAGCAGTTACCGTTCGATTAGGGTAGCAGCCAGCAAGCTAGACAACTAAGAAATCCCAACTTGTTACAGTAGATAGCCAGCTAGCCAACAGTGCTGTGTCGAAAATCATGTCTTGCTTGCTATAACGCTATAAACGCAACTGGTTGTTTATCCTGGCTACAAACTAAGTCTACCCACAATATCTAACGTCAGTAGCGAGGCGTTAGCCGGCTGGCCATAATTTTAGTCAACTGAACTTCTCTAACGTTTGCTAGCTAAACAACTTGATATTTCACTAACGATGCGAGCAACAATATGCTGGCTAGCTAGCTAGGAAATAAAGTAGCTACCTAACGTTAGCTAGCTATCTGTTAATAGCTAATGAATACTCAAAATTGGTAAAGTAATAACCATGGAAATATTTACCCCCAACTGTATATATTGAAAAACTCAAAATTACCTCATTCTAGCTCCCCCTGCGACCAAGTCGCTTGCTTGCTCCGTAGGAAGGCACTGTAGTTACCCTCCAGTAAGCGTGTATGAAACACTGGAGGGCTGGACAGTTTGAGCGGCGGGGAGGAAGTCCAATCGAGATAAGGAAAGACATTCCGGACCACCTACCGACATTCTCCAATAGTTGACGGCGCCAGTGCACCGCATTGTGGAGGCCACAGATAACAGAATGTCATGATCTACTTTGAAATTTCCTGAGGACAGGACTGGACTCAAGCAGTCTAGTCAATATTGTCAAGGCTAGACTGTCGATTCTTCCAATGCACTCATCACGTGTTTAAATAAATACATTACACAAGGCATTGAAAAACAATTGTATTAATACTATGTCATACAACAGGGCCTAGGAGTGAATAGTAATAGTAGATTGATTCAAATTGTCCATCAGGTTGGAAAGAACGTGTCTACAGAGCAAAGTACTATCCAAGTGCAACAATGCTCAGAAACAACAAATGGACAGAGACATTGATTCATTTTGTATCGCTATCTTTATTTGTATCAGATTCCAAGGAAAACAAAAAAGACTTTAGGCCTTGTATCCACGGCTGGATCTGCGCCCACGAGCACGCTCAAACTTCCTGCCCTTGGAGCGAATGTAGGGCCTGAGGGAGAGAAGAGATACACCATTAAGTGTTTCAAACACCTTCCTAGATTCTGCAGATAATGCATTAATGTTGATTATGTGCATTGTCTATCAACTCAATGCAATCAATATTCAGGGGACAAAACAAGCAAAATACAGCTATGCCTAATGTATTTCAAAATGATGGATTTTTCCTTCTCCATTCCTTGAAGTAATCATTGATATGATAGCACTGGGTTGGAGAAGGTGAATCTAGTGGAACCCAGGCATATACATGTTTTATATTTAGTAAATAAACTAACATTGAGTCCAACAAATTTCTCTACACCAATTCCTGGGCCCAGTTTTTACAAAAGTTTGTATTTGGATCAGAATGATCCGGATTCTGGAATCCTCCGTTTTACAATTCAAGATCAGATCGATCTGGACGTTTTTGAGCCAGGTTTTCCAGAAAATAATCAGATGAGATCATTCTGATCAAGATGCCACAATATCAAGATCACTGAATCTGGACTACCTACACCTTGCCATCTACTGGACAGGTTATGGTACTACTACTAAACTGTCATAGGGAACCTGAGAGGAGTAAACTAATATATATAGTGCTATTTCTATTGTTTTTTTTATTACCATTTATTATTTTATTTCACTTAGTCCTGCATGTTGGAGCATAATATTTTCACTGTACCCTGCAATTATACCTGCAACCCCTGTACGTGACGATTAAACACTGAATACAAAAGGTACTCAAGAGTAAAAAATAATGGAGCCTGCATAACACTTATAAGTACATGCATTTATTTGTAGGGATGCAAACTGGTGAGTGCCCAAAAAGGTGACATTTTTGTTACTTGCTGTTTTCAGCGATGTAAAGGCGCAAGCGTGACTGTGCTCCGTTTTCCTCTATGGCAGTGTCACTCAGAAGCTGCATGACCGCAAAGCCTAGTCAATTGGCCTGTGCTCGTTCTTACAAGCCAAATGAAAAGATGCATGTATCCACTTCGCTGGCGCTGCAAGCCCCTCTAATAATTAATCCAACGTAATAGAAGGACCATCCACTGTCTGCACACCCCAGCTCACCATCACGGTTAACATGTAAGCCCCCCCCCCCCCCCCAACTTAGTTTGGATCTACTTCTCAATATAACAAATTACCACACAGTACTTATACTGCAGTCAATTTAACAATTAAACCTTTGGGTTTCAGAGGTAAAAAATGTATATATATATTTTTTTAACCTCACCGTAGTTATATTGACATTTCTTGGTTGTAGTGCCTTTCACCTTTCTAAATCCATCCATCTAGTGGGATCAAGATCATTCTGATTTTCGGCATCTAAATTAGCCTAATCACTACCTTTGAGTTTTGAAAAACGCAAAAACATTTCATCCTGATTAAAGGTCAGATTGGATTACAAAATCTGAATCCCTATACAGAGGATCAGAATCTCATTTCCCAGTTTCGAAATACTAAATTATAACATTTAATTCAATCCGATTGCCGAAATACGATCAGACAAGTTTTGCAAAACTGGGCTCAGTGAGGTGAAACATAGATTAGAACACTGCAGACAAACTCACAATTGTTTATTCTACACGACAAGAGAAACATGTTTGTCCTTCTCTACACAATGCACATCTAGTATCCTCATTCTAAAGTAGGGCCATCCACAACATTTCCATCTACTAACAAAACATCTCATTGAAGTTCTCAATTTTCAGAAAGTGTGTCCTCCGTTTAAAAACATTCCTGTCATTTTCAGTGAAAACCAAACCGGAGCGAACTTGTCAAACAATTTGGAAAACATTCTCTCAATTGACAGATACTGAATGAAACCCTAGGAGAGCAGCAGTCTCAAGAAAGGGGTACAATACTCACTTGGTGTGGCTGTGGGGGGTTCCGCAGGCTTTTCCAAAATGCCTGTACACCTCTCTGCCCTTACGGGGTCCTGAAAGAAGAAAAACAAGTACGTTTCAGACCAAAGTAACAGGGTTGTCTAGTTAGGCCTAAGATTAGCAGTGTGGTTAAGGTTAGGTTTAAAATCAGATTTTATGAGAAATTGTAGAAATAGGCGGGATTTAGCCATAATCTGACTGTGGCTGTGATAACTAGAGATGACCGTCACTTTAAACATGTAATAGTAGTGAATTTCCGGTGAGCACATCCTCCAAACTAGCAGTGTTCTTACCCGACAGCAGCACGGTGCCCTGTCCTTTGGGGGCAGCCAGAGCCAGCTGGTCAAAGGTCATGACCTGACCTCCAGCCTTCAGGATCCTGCGGCGAGCTCCGTCAGTCACCTTCAGAGCGCACACCTGAGGGAAGGGAGAACCGAGGATGTTTAGCAACTCATGTTAACACTTATTTAATGTTCTGAGAAAGTAGTCCAACCCTAGTCCTGAAGAGCCAACTCGTTACCGGGTGGGAAGGCTTTTGTTGTAGCCCAACACCCGATTAAAACAGTCAGGGGTGTATTTGCAAAACGTTTCTTAAACGGAAGCAAAGGGAACAGGGAGGGACCTACCTGAATTTGTCCAATAGAAAGGCTCCTTTTGCTTCCATTTGGCTCTTAAACAGTTTCCGTAATAAATACACCCCAGGCTAAACCAAGTGTTAGTGCTGGGCTGGAGCAAAAGCCTGACCCAAGCAGGAATCCAGTAAGTTAAAATATAACCTTTACCTTGAGTTTGGGGATATCCTGGATTCTGACATCATCAGTGACGGTTCCCACGACGACTGCGGTTCTGTTCTCACGACCAGGCAGTTTCATCTTACGGATCTGAAGCGGAGAGCAAATAGTTCAGAAGAGGACAGGGACAACAGCCACACAGTGAAGATAAATATTAAGGGTTCATCTTAAATGCTCCACATACTGACAGTAAAATCTGGACAGGTGAAAGAAGGTACATTCACTTTGCCCGTGTATTCATATCAATAAAGCTGGAAGGGACATGGGCCCGGTTTCCCAATAGCGATGGAACTTAGGCTCACGAGGGTTTTAACGATGCATCGTTCCTACAACGGCCGAATGTAACACAAGTTTCCCAAAAACACCATGCAGAGAGAACGTTCACAAGTGTGTGGTTGGAGCTTGCATCGATACTGATCAATACGAAAGAAAGGGAGCGCTGCCCTCAGATCAACTTTCTCCATTCAAAATCATACCGACGACAGATCAGCTCCTAGAGAGATAATATTCGCAGGCAAAGGTGATGAGGCGGTTTATTCTAATGCTAACCCAATAATAATGCACCAAAGCAGATTTGGCACATCATTGCGCACATTACACATTAAATATATTAGCAAAATATAACTGATTGAACATGAAATAGATTTCAATGACTGAAATAGACATATTTACTGTATGTAGCCTGTTTTATTATTTACACTTTATTTCCATTTACAAAGGACAATAACAAAGTGACAGACATCCAAACAATAGATGGGGAGGGGAGGATAGGTAGCCTGGGTTTTACCAGGAAACACAGGACACCCAGCGGGCCCTGTCACAGCAAGCCAGGCATCCTGTGTGACCTGGCAGAAGCCAAGCCTGGGGGGGGTAACAGTTCACAAACAAATACAGACTTAATATATTAGGCAATGCTCTTTTACTTACATATATTATTATACATGTCCCAGAGACCCTGTAGACCATTGTCATAGACCTGGAGGGCCAAAGCTGCTCTTTCCATAGTCAACAAATCCATGAATTCCCTTAACCAAATGTCCATGCGGAATCACTGCGGTTTACGCTCTTTCCTATTCATAAAGTATTGTTCGTTTGACTGATAGGAAGGCCAGTGCAATGATACGTTGCGTGGTTCTAGGTTGGATATTGTCCACCCTACTTCCTAGCAGGCACACTACAAGACAAAGTGGGATACGCACATTCAAAATTCCAGACAACATATCTACCTCAGTCCCAAATCCTTTGACGGCTGGACAGTTCCATAACAGATGCATTAGCGTTCCATCTTCACCCATGTCAACACAAATCTGAAAGGCTTTGATTTTTTTTTTTATCCACCGTTGAGGTGTAGTAAGCCTATATGAGAGAATTTGAATAATTGTATACCTTACAGTTGGATATCAATGTTTTTCCATATTGCATTCCCACTGTACTGCAGTGACGGATACACCCAAGTCCTGTTCCCAATGTAACGGAGTAGGGATGTTGCTGTTTGGGGAGGAGAGGCCAACCAGCTTGTATAAGGGGAAAACCGTTCCTTTTCCATTAGCAGCACCCCTCAGTTTGTTGTCCATTACTTTTAGATCCCACATCAATACCATTTGAGGAAATACACTATTATTGATTTGAACTGCAAATAAGGTAGAAATGCCATATTATTTAGGCCAAACTCTGCTATCAACTCTTTTAAATGGTTTGATATCACCATCCCTTACGACCTGCCCCACCTGACTGATGTTTTGCCGTTGCCAGGTAATATTAGCCAATGTCTTTCTCCCTGCAGTAAACAAGGGGTTGTTCCATATTGGACATGAGGGAAGCACCACTGATAGATAACCTTTAATGAAATGTCTTTGCCACGTCACATGAAAACTCAAGTAGTGGGTCATCTTACAGTGGCAATTGGGGTAATACCACAATGATGACGTGGAGATCAAATTACTATGTTCTGTTACAATTTTTTCCTCTAACCACTCCCACCAGCCTACAATTCCCCCATGACAATGGATATCTTGCATTATAAAACAAGTAATACAAATAAACATCAAGAAAACCCAATCCATTTAACAGACGCTCTTATTTAGATAGACGTACAGGTGCAATTAGGGTTAAGTGCCTTGCTCGAGGGCACAACTGACTTTTCACCTAGCAGGCTCGGAACCAGCGAACTTTAGGTTACTGGCCCAATGCTCTTAAATCGCTAGGCTACCTGCCACCCCAACTAGGACATGTTCAAGAAGCCACTTAAGAGGTGGAAAGATCTCCAGCTCACTCAAAGGTACCAAAACCTCAGGAGGGAAATTAACCATGACATAGGAGTCAAAGGTAAAAATAAAATCATAACTAGAATGTTAGAGCAAGGAAGTGTCAAAAACACCAAGAAAGCATTGTAGAGCAACAGGTATAAGCGGGAGTACCAGCTGAAGTTGTCCTCCCACTTGTGCTGTTGCCCTCTTTGAATCTGTGAACTTGACTGCCATTCAACTGAGTCAATACTAGCAATTTGATTCTGTAGCAGGTTAAAAACACAGCTATGGGAAGGATAGGTGTAACTCACCATGCGAGACACCGATATTGGAGGCCTGTGGGTCCTGCTCATGAAGAGCCTCCTGAGGACCACCTTGTTGAAGGGAGCAGTGGAGCGACGGGCCAGGAACCTGTACAGCTGTGGGGAAAGAACGTAAACATTTAGTAAGTAGAACTTATTGAGAACTCAATGTAAATGTCCACAAGGGTTAGTCTGAGCTACCTGCTGCATATACTTAACAATTAACCCCCCCCAAAAACTAAAATTAAGTTGGGAAAATCAACTTAATGTAAACTTGAATCACAATGTATGAAGGTTGTGACACATGCCTTGACCAGGAGCCTCAGGTAGATATCCTGACTCTTGGGCTCCTTTCGGTGCACCTTACGGTCCTTGTTGTGTCGGATGTCGACTCCCTGTGAATAGAGGTGGTGTAGGTCAATACATGAGAACTTGCCATTCACGCACTGATCAATTGAAAACCAATCCTTATAGTTACACATTGTCAATACCATTTCTGATCACTGTGCCAGTAATTTTACCTTTGCATGCTTCTGAACCCTATGCTTTATAGCTAGGCCTCAAACGATACACTGTGTAACGTTAGTAGACGTGGTCTAACTCAAACGGATCATATCTAAACAGCACCCAAATCATACCCAAACTTGAATTTGGCAGCATAACGTTGCAGTCTCATACACAGCGGCTATCTAGCTAGCTAGCGAAGTAAGTTGCCTAGTTCACTGAACCTGGTCAAATCGCACGTTTTCCTAGAGGGCTAACTTTTTCAATGAGGGCTAACTACCTAGTCAGGTAGCCGATACATTCTAACTCGGAGAAGCCTCAAAACGAATAAATACAAAAGGTACCGACATTTCTCGAACATCAGTACCATTATCTCGAGTCTAAGTTGCACGCTGTCTTTCAGGAATTAGTGAGAATACCCGGTAGCAAGCTAGTTACTGTGACGCTAACCCCCGGTAGAGAAGGACTCATGAACCGTATCGTTAAAACGCCAAATAGTATGACAATACCATCCGGAACTCAAACCAAAGACATCAAGACATTTAGATACATGAAAATGGTTGAGTTGTGCTACTGTAAAAGTGAGGATGGACTCAGATGATCAAGTCGGAACATTAACGATGTTTTCAGAAGCTGTACCTACCATCTTGGACTCAGAGTGGAAAGGGAAAAGAAAGGGCCGCTGTCTCGCGATAAACACCTCTCCGCGATCACGGAAGTCACACGTGTTTTCGTTGGCTTTTTTGCTATTACTTCCTGTGTGATTATCACGTCGTCAGAAAGTCTTTATATTTCTATTTTATATTATTCTATTCGTTAATTCATTCATTTAATTCATATATCATTTGTGTGTAGGCTAGTGTGACGTGACTTTCTAACCAATAAAACCACTATGCGAAAAACAAATAACATTCAAAATACAGTAGCCTATTATATTTTATCATGTGATTTACATACAATAAAAGGTAACTTTTCTTCACAAAACAGAAAGGTGAACTCGCTTCTCTTCTTGTAAGTTGTCAGGCTCTTTATTTTTTAACTTGATTAAATATTTAAATAAGCATGTTTTGGTATCAGAATTCATAGTTCCAGCTTTGAGAGAGAAAAATGCATTTCTCCTTATATATATTTCTTGTCATTTAGCAGATGCCCTTATCCAGAGTGACTTACAGGAGCAACTAGGCTTTAGTGCCTTGCTCAAGGGCACATCAACAGATTTTTCACCTAGTAGGCTCAGGAATTAACTGCTAGGCTACCTGCTGTCATGCAAAGACGAAAAACACATCCTTTAAAATAACTATTTTAATCAAGTTATAAGCATACAGCACATAAAAGCTATTCAATTGTGGTCACAATTTTCTCATCACACAGCTCATCCAATGACATCCATATCAGTGAGAGGGGGGTTGGGTTTGTGTATCATCTTTCTGCTGTCTGAAATGGCACAGGAAGACTGTCCACACCAGCGTGATGCCACCCACAAACACTGTACGAGCAACTGGGGGAACCAAGGAGAAATTCAATGCCTGAGAGAGAGAGAAAGAGAGGGGAGAGAGAGAGAGTGAGTGAGTGAGTGTAATGTTTACTGTTAATTTTTTATTGTTTATTTCACTTTTGTTTATTATCTATTTAACTTTCTTTGGCAATGTAAACATATGTTTCCCATGCCAATAAATCCCATTGAATTGAATTGAATGGAGAAAGAAAGAGAGAGAATCAGTGTGTGTGTGTGTGTGTGTGTGTGTATGCAAATAATGTGTTGTTGTTGTTTTCTACCTGCATTGTTGACCAGTACACCACTCCAGTCTGTCATACACAACAAAAGAGAGGGAGAGAGAGAGACCATTAATGTGGTTGTGGTGTACTATACATTTACATCATTTACATATACCTTCATCTATTCAAGTGTTGTGCCCTCTTCCTTTAGCCACAAATTCATGCTCTGCATCCATACCTTGTATGAAGTCCAGAATTTCTCCCTCCAGTTTTCCAATGGGTCCTCTTTGTTTTCTAATACACTAAGACCTTAAAAAGAGAAACACATATTATAGAACAATGTTCAAGCCTTACACACACACACACACACACACGCGCACGCACATGTAGTACTTGGGGATGAGTGAAACTTACTCCTCAGCCACAGGCACGCACGCTCGAACACACACAAACACACACACACACACAACAAACAAACACACACCTATGAAGAAGGCACTGATAGTAGCGGGGGCAGCAACCAGTTGATCCAGCACTACCTTCCCTGACACCCTTTTGGCCCCTCCCCCTGGCAACATCCTCTCCAGCCCCTTCAGCCAATGGTAGTTGAAGTTGGCATGGAAACAGAACCCAACAAGGGCCACTCGAGCGGTCTGGGACCAGTCAATACCAGCCCATGTTGTGACACTTTTAGTACCCATGGAAATCTTGGTTCCCTCCATGTTCAGCTTGGCCCCCTCTGAGTCATGGATGGTGAGTGATTCCTTGTCTGTGTTTAATCCACCACTCTGTTTCCCTCCAAGCATGCTTTGCTGTATAAGGTCCGCGGAGGCAAACAGGGTTGTGTATCCGACTACGTTGCTGATGTAGGGGTGGGCCTTAAACAAGACCCAGGCTCGACTCATTGTTACTGTTGAATTCATGGGGAGAAACAAAGGGTTAACATTATGGAATAAGAAGGAAAATATTCCTAATGACTAATTAATTATATTTCATTGATTTATAGGCTATTAGCATCACAAGCTAAATTCACTGATCATTTTATTTTGGATAAAAGTGGACTTTTGATTTCATTACATCATATTTTCTAAGGTCCCACTCAATCCTCAAAGCCAGTGGGCTATGATATATAAATGAAACAAAATAATATTGTCTTGCCTTGTCAAATTGAGCTCTGACTCCTTGCTTTAGGCAAAGAGAGAGACAACTTACCTTACAACTTAGCTGTCTCGTCCACTGCTTGGAACACAGCAGTGGCAGAGACACAAGATTCACACTGCTTGCTTCTGGAGGACAAGGCGGGGTGGGGTCCATGGAATTCTCAGCCAATAAAAGGCAGGTTCTCAGAGGTCAGAGAGGTCTGCTTGGCTGGTCAAAGTTCTGTCAGAGGGAGTGTTTTAAGGCTTTACCTAGTAGCCTTCTTTTGCAATGAAAGCATGTGAGAAAAGCACAGATGGGGAAGGCAGGAGGGAGAGTGACTGGATACATGGAGGAAAAGAGCAAGAGGGATACAGAGTGTAGCGTTTAAAACATGAATTAGACAGACCTGATTAATAGCAGGAGTTGTCATACTGGTACAATACCACCAATCAACCTAAACTCTTTTGTAATACAGTATTACTACAGTGCTATTACCACTAGTAATAGGCTACTTTAGAACTATGGTTCTAAAGTAGCCTACTGTACTAGCCTACTAAACGCAGGCCAACTACATTTTAACATTTTCAGACCGTGTATGTTTACAACTGACTTTGCTGGGAGAATGGTATTACGTTTCTCAACACATTCCCATTCAGGGCCACAGCAATGTGTATGTGGTTACTTGCTGAAAAACTGCCAATAGTGACAACAAAGATCCAAACTCCTACTCTTTACAGCTGGAAAAAGGGTTATGGGTGATGCGACTTACCAAAGTAATGGTCCACAGTATAAGTCAGCAAATCAATACCAACAACATGCTGTTTCTCAAAGGCAAAGTAGACCCTGGTCGCACGCACGTGGCTGCACTAAAAATAGATGCCACTCCTGAAACCACACTTCCCTCCTTTGGTTACATTTACATTTTACATTTTAGTCATTTAGCAGACGCTCTTATCCAGAGCGACTTACAGTTAGTGAGTGCATGCATTATTTTATTTTTTCTCATACTGGCCCCCCGTGGAAATCGAACCCACAACCCTGGCTTTGCAAACGCCAGGCTCTACCAACTGAGCTACATCCCTGCCGGCCATTCCCTCCCCTACCCTGGACGACGCTGGGCCAATTGTGCGCCGCCCTGTGGTAAGTTTGGTTTACAATGATAAGCACAGTGTATATATTTAAAGGAATAGTTCACCCCAAACCCCCAATTACATGTAATAAGATGGTGGCAATAATTTCCGCTCCCACTTTGGGATGGAGGCCTATAGATTTTCCTATTTGATATAACACACACACACACACACTACTCATTATTCAGCTATGCGGTGAGGATAGTCTATTCATTCGCTGTGCTGCCATATATATGTAAAATACAGTGCTAGAACAGCCCTCTGTAGAACCTAAAGGGCAATGTGCCATTAGCAACCACCTCAGCTCTTAGTTCAGAAAATGTGATAATGAACAGCTTGTTAAGTACCTCAACTTGGTGCGTTTGTGTCTTTCAATAGTTAACAAGCTGCCTTTAGTGTTCCTCACAATGGAGATGTGCGCCCACGCTTCTACAAGCAGTTGACTTCTCAGATAATTGCCCTCTTTCTTTTCTCTGTGTCTCATCCCCCCCCATCTGTCTCAGAGCAGGGGATTGATGTGGGATGTTCAGCATTGACTCATTGAGACACATATACACACACACAGACACACAATCAACCACGAAACCCCACCTCTTTCTCCATCTGTACCGCAACCTGTCTTTCTGACACATTATTTGAGTTAGTCTGCAGAGCTAGAGACAGCCACAGCAGTGCCAAGGTGAGTTTTCTTTGCGTTGTTCTATATTGTAGAATAATATTTGGTTAATAAGTGGTTTCGATGGTCCAGCTTGTTGGAGCATGATGCTGGCATCCCCAATGTTATGGGTTTGATTCTTGCATGGACCGTTACTGTAACTGTAAGTTGCTTTAGGAAAAAGTGTCTGTTAAATGACCATATTTAAACATTCCAATTACACCTTGATGGACAGAATTTTCCCTGAAAATAGTCGGCTGGACCAATTATTAGATGGTTTTAGTTATTGTGTTTTACCAATGTAATTTCTGAACAATTATGGGATACCTTAATAAGTTACAGGAGTGCTCAGCCCGCTTGTGTGGGTTTTGTTTCTGTAGGTCCTGTTGGTTCAGTTTAAAGACTTAGTAAAGTTGTCGTTGATAAATTATTTTTTGCTGCATTCCGGTGTTCCACTGAAAATGTGAAACTGAAACATTCTAACTTAGAAATTGGGGATAGGCCTACGAGATTTCCCACATTTCAATGGTTCTGTTGCATGTCATATCTGCTGTAACTTCTAGTAGAATATGCTCCCATATGGTTGGAAGCTCACAAGAAATGTCTTTGGACTTCAGAAACTCATATTTGACCTTATCCCCCTCTCCTACTGTTGATACTTATGTTACCCCTCCCACCTCATCCTTCTCTCTCACCACATCCCCAACTAATACCCCAGACCTGTTACTCCTCTCTCCTCCCTTCTCCTCCTTCCAGCCATGCGTCCATCCAACTCTGTGACCTTTGAACCCGGGGTGGAGCGAGGTGTTCCCTGGGGTCATGACCTCTTTACCTTTGTGACATCAGCAGCAGGCCACATGATGCGGACACTCCAGAGACCAAGGAAGAACCGGCCGTCCAAACGTCAAGTGAACCACCGGCGCTTCCTACACAACATGATCCAGAGGTGTGTGTGTACCGTATGTGTTTCAGGTGAGAGTGAGTGTCATTATAAGATGCCATAAACTTAAATGTTATACTGCCCATTCTCTCAAACAGGAAGTTTGCAGAGATAGAGACAGCCAATCACCAGCTTGCGTCTGTCCTCTTCTCAGCAGAGGTGGCGAATAGCGACACACCTTCCCCATCACGACAGCCAATAACCACTGACCTATCTAACAGCACCTCTAAAGAAGGTATTCTCTCTTTAATCATCCAGGTAACTTGATGCATAAATTAAGCAAACTGGGCTCCTATGTTGTTTATACTTATCTTCACCTTTTGTCCTTTCTCCTCCCTCTGAATGAACCACCATTTTGACTCCGACTCCCCTCCAGCTCCTGTAAGTGCAGAAGCAGACCTTTCCCTTTGTTCACATGAAACAGAAGCCCTTGCAACAGATCAGAATGACCCTGGAGACCAATGGAGACTCAACCCCAAACGACTCCAAATGGACCTGTCCAACAGCAACACTCCAAGTAAAGGAACATACCAAAAGACTCATAAACAGGGGAGCAGAATAGAAAATCAAACTGACTACAGGTCATCCATAACATCAGAGAAAACCATTGTCTTAGAACAAGAGGGGGAACACTTTCACACAGAACCCTTCAGTTGTGATATCACTTCAGAGGAGAGCCTTTATAGCTGGATCGACAGCATTAGAGAGAAATATGAAACCCAACTCAGACGTGACTCAAATTCAAACATCACGGCCCCAACTCAAAACATGGATACCTCAACTTTCAACCCATTACCCCTCTCGCCCGGACTCTCCCCTCTGTCCCTAGACTCCTGTGACTTTGGGGTCACAACGGTCGAAGACAACGCAGCCTGCTCCCAGTCCCAAAACAATATGGCAGACAGTGAGACAGTGGAGAGCCAGAGAATGGATGTGCTGAGGCTGTGGGACTCAGAGGTTGAACCACAGAATGATGGGGGGTTTAGGGACGGCATGGACCCTCAGGCCCATCTAGAGACCATCTGGGGGTCTCCTGGTGAAGAGAGGAGCCTAGCCAATAATGTGCACGTTGATGACATCACGTTTCTGAACCAATCTGAGAGTTTCATAGAGAAGTTGATGCTCCACACCAGCAGCAGCAGTGACGCTAGATCTGAGATGGAGCAGATTGACTGTGATAGAGGGCAGTATGAATACGGATCTGGATACAGATGCTCTATAGATCCAGTAACAGCCATAAGAGACTTCATAAGTGGCCAGGGCAGTTCACAGTGTATGTTGGAGAGTGCTGTGGGGAGACAAGGTACAGATAGGCAGTTCACCTGTTTAAATATTACCCCAAACCAACTGTCCACCTCTGTAGGCTACCATTGTGACTTCCCAGACCCCAACATCCTCCAGAGGTCTTGTCCCCAACAAGATGGTACCTTCTCATTGGTGAATGATGATATGAGTCAGAGTTGTATTCCCTTTGAGGGAGTGGCCAGATCCTTCCCTGCCCCAGTTCACACCCCTCATTCACATCAGGTTCTAACCCCGCCCCTGGAAGATGATTGGTTGTTCACTGATATCATGGGGGGCCCATCAGTGTGAGTAGTTCATCCCGCTAACGGCCAAATTAGCTGCAGTGCCACTAAAAATGGGGAATGATACTTCACCTTATAAATGATCTATTGTGGTTCGACTGTATTAGTGTATTCACTTCTTTATGTGTGTAATGTTAACTTATTGATAAATGGTGAAACATAATTAAATAGGTCAGTCTCTCCTTACAATAAATTACAGTAAATGTGTGCATGTAACTGGGTGTTCACCAAACCAATAAACAAATTGAAACACACAAAATGTAAAAACCAACAACATATATTAAAGTTCACCCCAGTCAGATATGTTTTATAATTACAGCATCATAAACCAAAAATGGCTTACAAACAACACATTTCCAAAATGTTCCATTTCCACAGAAGCCATAAAAGAAAGAAAAATAACAAAATAATAATAATAATACACCTTTGAAAAAGCACCGGTCTCGCTACAGATGCACAGACACTTTAGTTCTCTGATCACATGCCAGGGGTCAGCCAATAACCTTTAACCTCAAACCAACCTTCCTATTACTTCCCCTGAAGACCAAACCTAGATAGTTTAAAATGTAGTGATCTTAGTGTTCAAAATGTGAAAACTTTAAAGTGACAGTTTGCATCCAAATAACATTTAAAAAATCAGCTCAGATCTTTGACAAATCAGTTAGATTTACATATAAAACCTGTATCATCTTCAGAGAGATGGGACTGACTGAACCAATGACAGCCGCTGATAATGTCTGAGTTTGGTCAATTACTGCCCTCTAATGGTGCATATGTAAAGTGCAGAATCTACAGTAATTTACAAAAAAATGTATTTTTTTGCCAAATAAATCACATGAAGAGGAAGAAAAGAAAAGGCCAAATACACGTTGTCGTTTTTTCAGTAATCAAATACTAATAGAACTCATTCTTAATTCAAATATCCCATGTCCTCATTAGGTTGCTAGTTCTAAAGATCCAACTGTTTCTATAGTACTGTCATGAAAATTATCAAAATGGATCTTGGCTTTGCTCTCCACTGTGTCAAGCTTGAGTTTGACATGAGATAATGATGGGGAACTGTACCTTTGCTCTGATAAATGCTCTTTAAACAACCTTTTAGTAATTCAACCCTGCATGCGTTTCAACAGGAATGTCCTAGTCTTATGTGGAGGGAGATAAACATTCTTCCTTGGGCAAGAGCAGACAACTGTGATTACCGAAGAGACTATGCGGCCAATGCTATTATTATTATAGAATGCACCACCATGCAAATATGTAGCGTTTTACTAGACTGAGCAGCAAAACACTGTCAAGGTGCCCTGTGTCTGTAAGTATGTGGACATGACATCTACTCCCTGTACAGACTTCTGCTGTGTCAGGCATAGTGGTTATGGGGCTTAGAGGAGTTAAAATATAAACAATATACATTAACAAAAAGGCTTTGCACTTGTTAAACTTGAATGAATCGTGAATGTTGTTGGAGATTAAAGGGGGCGGGGCATGTATACTCTAATATTCTTAAAACCACATCTTCTAACCGGCAAGAGATCTCCTTGTCTGTCACTTAATGAAAAGACACAATTTTGGACGATTCGACCGATTATGTCTTCCGCAAAAAACACTATTATGATATCAGAGGAGAGAAGCCTAGAGCGTTGCTGTTCTAGAATGATCTATACAGAAATGATGGGTAGGAACAGGGTTTTCTTGGTGCTTCATATTACAGATCTGAAGACAATGAACTCAACGGAAGTTGCTGGAAAAAGTCCTCAACTTTTGTCTGTTATTCCAGAGGGTAGTTCCATGGATTTACAGTGGAAATTCCCCAACAGTAGTCTCTGCCATAGTACTCTACTTGAATCTATTCTATTCTACTAGGTATACTACAATACGTCCCTTTTTCTCATCCATACGCCCACCATTTGGTTAAACACAAAAGCTTTGTTCCATAAATATATTACACAATGAATGAATAATGAACAATATTACAATGTACAATATGTATTTTTGATAAAAACAAAATATATGGATGCTTATGATATGTTGAGAATGACTAGTAGTCTGGAAACATCAACATTACGTCCTCAATTTTCCTGTTTTCCTGTTCTGTGTAAGTGATTCCAGTGTTCTGCTCCACAGGTGAGTTCTGATATAGTGTTGGTTACTGTCTTAAATGTCTGTCATCTCTCTGTCCAATATATTTCCAGTGCATTCCCTACTAACCAAGACCTACAAACTTCCCTAACATCCTGATACACTGTAAAATAGAACAACCAATACCCCATCCCGTAATTATTTAACAACATAAGTCTACATAGATAGACAGATGTTGTTAACCACAACCCACCTAGTAATTGTGACTCTGCTCTTAACCTCTCTCTATTGCCATGGTTACAGTATGTGTGAGGCCCTGCCTTCCTTTCTATCAGTACCAGTGATACCACACCAGTATGTCAACTACCAATGATATGTCTGAACAGACTGGAAATAATACAAAAAACAACCAGCGGCAATAAATTATTTAGGCTTATGCTCATATTCAGACTGATATAAATTACATAGATTCAACTGCCTGTACTTTATAAGAAGCGATATGTTAAAGACTTGAGTTAAAGAAACGATCTACCTACTGTAGCTATCTACCTATACCTACCTATGCAATCCATTGGCCTATCTACAGTAACTACATATCTGTCTCTATCTAAAAAGGTAAATGAATGTCTAGATAACCCAGATGCAGAGCACAGCACTGAAGCCAGACTGCATGGAGGTTCAGCTTTTTTGCAATAGTGTTTGATGCAACTGCAATAACATGTTTGGTTGTCATCGCTTGTCATGACAAAAGATATCAACATTTCATCATCTTATGATAATCATAAGATAGATTGATAAGGTCTACGATGATGCCGGTGTTTATACCCTAGCCAGTTTCACCAGTATGTGTGATGATGGAGTGAAATATCATCAGTCTTTTTCTATAAAAACTTGACGCATACAACATCAAGGTTGATAATCATATTTCCTTTTTTCTCTCTCTCACTTAACCCTCTCTTCCCTGATTAATACTTTCCCCATATATGACCTAATTCAAACTACAAACAAATTAGTAATATATCCTAAAATACTTCACAGACATTCTGTGTTTGTTTTCTAAAATACGTTTTCAAATAATAATTTGGCCTAAAAATTGTATTCAAGTGAGAGAGAGAAAGATCAACAATTTGTGTGAGCTTCTCCCAGGCTTGTTAACATACAGAAGAGCATATCAGCTGTCTTTCACACTAGCAGTCAATGAGCGATTTACAAGACACACACTGACAGAGGAACTAAAGAAACATTTATCAGTCCCCTGTGTGTGTGTGTTTCTCTAGTCTTGCAAAACGTCTTCCCAAACATGCAGATTGTCATTAACCCTTTGAGGAGTGGAACATTATTCGGAGTGTTCTATTCCAGGATTCTACAGCATTCTAGAACATTTAGCAGCCCTTTGTGATGTCATCAACTAGAACGCTAAACACAGGGCGGAATATTGTCAGAGCTCCTCAAAGGGTTAAACATGGCTTTACATTGATAGTGGCCAGTAGCCATCTTATTTCTGGCATTTGAAGCGTAATACAGTTTCATAATAATAGAACATGGCTATGCTGATATAATTAGCTTTCCCTCAGATTTCTGGGAGATTAAGTTTCCCCCAGTGAGATTACAGTCCATATTCTTGCTCAAGAATCATCATCAAATCATCTTCCCCTCTTGTAGTGTGTGTGTGTGTGTGTGTGTGTGTGTGTGTGTGTGTGTGTGTGTGAGAGAGCGAGAGTGTGAGTGTATGCTCTCTGTTCTAGTTTGGACTGCAGAGGAACTAGTTTAAAAGTGCTGGACCAGTTAGTCAGTCTATGTGAGTGTGTATTTGTATGTAGGCCTATGAGTCTGTGTGAGTACGTATCTGTATGTATGCATGTGTATGAGTGTGTGTTACTCAGTGTCGTTGAGGCTGTATGGTGGGGGGGGTCCCAGACTGTTGTTTTCAGAGGGGGGTGTGGGGGTGCCGGGCCCAGTGCCGGGGCCAGTACCAGAAGAAGGGGTCGGGGAGGGGGGGGGCTCCTCCGAGTCAGAGTTCTCACACGACAGGTCATCCACCAATGCCCTGCGACCTGAACGCATCCCTAGGGGCAACGGAGCACGCCTGGGGGGGAGAGAGGTGGGAGAGAGGGTCATGGAGATGGAGAGGAGGTAAAGGGTGTGTTTATCATATCTGACATGATCAACCGTCTCTAAGAGGGACTGGAAAGGCAACAGCCCTCTTGTGGTATAAAGGTGACTAAACCACTGAGACATCAAACTAATAAGAGGACAGTATTTCTTCAGTTTAATATATACTGCAGTCCACACAACTAACTGAAATCTTAACTTAATGAATTGCACACGCACACACACACACACACACACACACACACACACACACACACACACACACACACACACACACACACACAGAGACCTACTTCTCTGGTTTCCGTTCAGATGTGGTGATGCTGAGTGGAGTGGAGTGTGGGGCAGACAGATGGACAGCGTGTCAGTGTTAGATGGGGTCAATGGAAGAAAAACACATGCAATAATAAAACATAAAACAGGGTGGTAGTAGGTGGCAATGGAACTCAAAAATACAATGGATCTGGGAGGGTCACTCAGATTACACACACACACACACACACACACACACACACACACACACACACACACATACACACCACACACAGTGGTAGTATTACCTGAGCTGGCTGCGTAGAGCGGTGATCTCACGGGTCATGCTCTGGGAGCTGTCAGTAAGCTCCTCCATCTCTCTCTGCAGTTTACGTCTCTGGGCGTTGGAACGAGAGTTATCCTCCTCCACCTCCTCGAGCTGCCTCTTCAGCTGCCTCAGCCGGCCCATAGATTTATCCAACTGGAGAGAGGAGGGAGGGTGTAGGGGGAGAGAAGAAGAGAACGGGTAAAGAGGAAGAGGAGAAGACAATAGAGGAAGGGGGGATGTGTATCAGAGAGGGACGGACGGAGAGAGATAGACAGATTAAGCACAGAACAGGAGGACTGGGATTACATCCCACAGATTAAATTCCAGATGATTTTTGAGAGGGGGTTCAGTATCACCCCTACCTCTCCACTGTAGAGGGATGAGGGATTATTTTGTTCAGTATCATTTGGGAGGAGATAACCCCTACCTTCCCCTGGTGCCAGGGCTGGATTAGATTAGGATTGGGATTAGCAGGACCAACCACTCATTTTGGGATGAAAACACCCTTCTGTACGGTAACCTTCTCGTACTGGTCTTTGTTCTGTTCTGTAGGTTGATGTTCTTAAACTGGGAAGTCTGTTCTGTAGGTCGACTTGTTCTGTATGGTTGAAGTCTAGTTCTCTGACTGGTCTGACTGTCTCGTTGCGAATGTTGATCTCTGTATGGTCTGTACTGTTCTTGTATGGGTGTAGTCTGAATGTTTACCTGTTTCTGTACTGGTCTGTACTCTGTTCTCTGTACTGGTCTGTAAGGTTCGTACCTGTTCTCTGTATGGTCTGTACTCTGTTCTCTGTACGGTCTGTAATGGTTGTACCTGTTCTCTGTACTGGTCGTACTCTGTTTCTGTTATGGTCGTAATGTTCGTACCTGTTCCGTACTGGTCGTACTCTGTTCTCTGTACTGGTCTGTAATGGTTCGTACTGTTCTCTGTACTGGTCTGTACTCTGTTCTCTGTACTGGTCTGTAATGGTTCGTACTGTTCTCTGTACTGGTCTGTACTCGTTCTCTGAGGTGTATTTATTTTGACTGGTCGTACTCTGTCTCTGTACTGGTCTGTACTGGTCGTACTCTGTTCTCTGTTACTGGTCTGTAATGGTTCGTACCTGTTTCTGTATGGTCTGTACTCTGTTCTCTGTACTGGTCTGTAATGGTTCGTACCTGTTCTCTGTACTGGTCTGTACTCTGTTCTCTGTACTGGTCTGTAATGGTTCGTACCTGTTCTCTGTACTGGTCTGTACTCTGTTCTCTGTACTGGTCTGTAATGGTTCGTACTGTTTCTGACTGGTCTGTAATGGTTCGTACCTGTTCTCTGTACTGGTCTGTACTTGTTTCGTACGGTCTGTAATGGTTCGTACCTGTCTCTGTACTGGTCTGTACTCTGTTCTCTGTACTGGTCTGTAATGGTTCGTACCTGTTCTCTGTACTGGTCTGTACTCTGTTCTCTGTACTGGTCTGTAATGGTTCGTACCTGTTCTCTGTACTGGTCTGTAATGGTTCGTACCTGTTCTCTGTACTGGTCTGTAATGGTTCGTACCTGTTCTCTGTACTGGTCTGTAATGGTTCGTACCTGTTCTCTGTACTGGTCTGTAATGGTTCGTACCTGTTCTCTGTACTGGTCTGTAATGGTTCGTACCTGTTCTCTGTACTGGTCTGTAATGGTTCGTACCTGTTCTCTGTACTGGTCTGTAATGGTTCGTACCTGTTCTCTGTTACTGGTCTGTAATGGTTCGTACCTGTTCTCTGTACTGGTCTGTAATGGTTCATACCTGTTCTCTGTACTGGTCTGTAATGGTTCGTACCTGTTCTCTGTACTGGTCTGTAATGGTTCGTACCTGTTCTCTGTACTGGTCTGTAATGGTTCGTACCTGTTCTCTGTACTGGTCTGCATGTCTCCTCTCGTCCTCCGCCTGCATCATCACCTCCTTCAGTTTTTTCTCTGTCTTCCTCACCAGCTTGTTGGCTATTGCTCGCTCCCTGGGGGAGGGGAGAAAGACTGTGAGTCAGGTTTCATCCCCATACCCAGAACATTCAGTCAGATTAGTAGTGGAAGAAGTGAGATGTTAGAGAGAGGAGAGGAGAGGGAAAGGGCAGGGAGGGAAGTAAAGAGAGAAGAGGGGGAGTGAGGAAAGGAACAAGGTGAGAGATAGTGTGAGGGGAAATCCATAAGAGAATGTGTGTGTTCCCCTCACTGTCTCTCCTGCTCCAGCTGCTCCTCCATGCCATCCATCTTGGCCTCCAGGGCGGCGACACTGAGCCTGTGTTTTCCCCTGACCGCTCCCTCCATCTCCCCCAGCTTCAGCTTCAGCTCCTTGTTATGCCTCTCCAGAGCCTCCCTGGCCCCCTCAGCCTTCTGGCACAGGGTCCTCTCTCCCTGCAGCTGCACCGTCAGAGTCTCCACCTGGGGAGGGAGAGGGGAGAGAGAGGGATAGAAAGGGAGATTAAAAGTAAGAAAAACGGACAAATGAAAACCGAGTCCAGGATACTGTGTGTGTGTGTGTGTACCTGAAGTGTAGTCTTCCTGTGTCTCTCGGCCACTAGTTCAGCGTTACTCTGCTCCTCCTCCAACTCCTCCTCCAGCTGAGTGACTCGCGCCTCCAACCTCCGCTTCTCATCACACAGAGCAGACCTGACAACACACACACACACACACACTCACCATGAGTAATACACACGCATAATACACAGGAATACACACACGTGAGCACACACACACAGAAAGGCAAGTAGAAAGAGAGATACTAACTTCCCAGTGGAGCTGTTGACGATCTCATCAGCCATCTCATCTCTCTCCTGCTGGGCCTGTCTCCTCATCCTCTCAGAAACTGATAAATCCTAGAGAGAGAGAGAGAGAGAGAGAGGAGAGGAGATGAGAGAGAGAGAGGAGAGAGAGAGAGAGAGGAGAGAGAGAGACAGAAGAGAGAGAGAGAGAGAGAGAGAGAGAGAGACAGAGAGAGAGAAAGAGAGAGACAGAAAGAGAGAGACAGACAGAGAGAGTCAGACAGAGAGAGACAGACAGAGAGAAAGAGACAGAAAGAGAGAGACAGAGAGAGAGAGATAGCGTTACCATCCTAAAACACAAGAGGTTGTGTCTTCGCAAATCTCTCACACACACACCAGCACGCACACACACCTCTGTAAGCTGCAGTAGCTCCGCCTCCAGGGTCTGCAGGCGCTTCTCTGTGTCTTTTGATTGGACGACCACCTCGTCACGGGCCAGCTTGGACTCATCCAGCTCACGAAGCACTTCCTTCATCTGAACCTGAGAGAGCACGAAACGGAGGGTAAATTAAATATGGTTTTCCACAAGGCTCTGTGCTGGGACTCTTAAAGTTCTCATTATAGCTGGTTTATAGGTGGTTTATAGATCATTTAACTGCACAGCATTTAATCTCTGACCGAGCAAGCAGCATTAGAAAGAAAGAAGGGGGGTGTAGCTTACCTGCAGTCTCCGTAGCTGCCTAAGCCCCTCCTCCCTGCCACGATTGGCTGTCTCCACCTGGGCCTCAGCCTCCTGTAGCTCCGCCTCCAGTTGCTTCTTGACGGACATGGCCTGAGAGCGTTGACTCCTCTCCTCCTCTAGCTGGGTCTCCAACTCCCTCACCTGGGGGGGAAAGGAGAGAAAGCGAAGGGGAGAGGGGAGAGGGGGATGGAAAGGAAGGAAACAGCAGAGAAAGAGAGAAGTTCAGCATCTAATCCAAATGAATAACTGTCTCCCCATATTCAGGCTTGATACACTCCTCTTCTTCTCTCTTCTCTACATACCTGTTTGTTGAGAGACCTCCTCTTCTCCTCTCCTTTCTCCTCCTTGGTGCTGATCTCTCTCTCAAACTGGGCCCTGAGGGCTTGGAGGGTGACCTCGAGCCTCAGCCTGGAGTTCTCCGCCTCCCCCAGCTCCTCCTCCAGCTCCTGGGTCTGAGTGCGCAGGGACTCAGCCTCTGTCTCCAGGGCTCGCCGGGAACGCTCCAACTCATGCACCTGACACAGGAGGAGAGAAATGTGTGCTAGTCGTGAGATACACAACCATGGCCATTTTCGCTCTGTAATACACACACACATTTCCGCCCACATTTACACACACACACGTACATTCTTCCCCACGTCATCCTGTTGATTGACTAGTTGTTCCATGTCTATGCGGAGCTGCTTGTTAGATCTCTCCAGCTCGTCCCTCTGATCTTGTGCCTCCTGCAAGAGTAGATGGGAATCATGAAGTATCAAGACTCACTTTATTTAGATGAACAACTGTTAATGCTGATAACTGGATAATAATCTGTGTAGTCATTCCAGTGGTACCTGCAGGGCTCGTGCCAGTGCCAGGGAGCGTGTTTCCTTCTCTCTACTGTCTGCCTCGGCCCTGTCTCTCTCCTCAGCCAGCCGGGCACTCACCGCCTTCTCCTCTGACAGGCACTGAGGGGGCAAAGGGCAGGGGTTACATCACGGGACATTATGTCATTATGGTTACCCTTAACCTCTAACCCCTGAATTCTGACCTGGTCAAACTTCTTCTGCCTCTTCTCCAAGGTGGTGCAGTTCTGTCTCTCTCTCTGCAGGGCCAGGGTCATGTCCTCTATCTCCTCCCTCAACCTCTCCCTCTGCCGATCCACTCGTTCCTTCTCCTCCTCCTTCTGTTGTTCTCTCTGGACGGCCTGGTCCAGGTCTCTCTGCAGTTTCCTGCGCGTCTCCTCTCCTGCCTCCACCGTCGCATTCACCTCCTCCGACTGCCTCCGCAACTCAGCCAGCTAGAGACGGATGGAGGGAGAGCAGGAGAGAGGGAGAGAGGGAGTCATGGTGAGGAGGAATATAGACTTACTGTAGAAAACAACTGAACATGTTTTATATTATAATCTATAGGAAAGTTGCTTTTTTCCACATAATGATGATTACCTGCTGAGTGTGAGTCTGTATCTGCCTGGAGAGCTCCTTGGCGCTCTCCTCTTCCTCCTCCACTCTCTCCATCAGTCCACTCCTCTCCTCCTCCAGAGCTCTCACCCTGGAGCCCAGAGACAGCTTCTGACGAGTCTCATCCTGGAGTAGCTCCTGAGAGAAAGCATATCACCATGGAAGTGGTTAAAAACAGAGGATGAACGAGTTGGCAGTGTGTGTGTGTGTGTGTGTGTGTGTGTGTGTGTGTGTACCTGAGCATCGTGGAGCTGGCTCTCCAGGCTGCTGACCTCCTTGTTGAGACGGAGGGATTTGGAGTCGGAGGAGGAGAGAGAACTAGAGAGGGTCTCCATCTCAGACTGTAGTTTGTGCAGCCTGTTCTCTCTCTCCTCCCTCTCTCTGTCGGCCTGTGCGAGGCGTGCGGTCAGCTCCTGGAGTTGACCCTCTGCCCTCTTGCGGCCCCTCTCACTCTCCATGCGGCCCCCCTGCAGGGACTTCAGCTCTGAGGCCAAACTCACCCTCTCCTCCTCTAATACAATCTTGGCCTTCTCTAGGGACTGACGGGCCTGGGGAGACAATACAACATAAGGAATTACTACATACAGTGGGGGAAAAAAAGTATTTAGTCAGCCACCAATTGTGCAAGTTCTCCCACTTAAAAAGATGAGAGAGGCCTGTAATTTTCATCATAGGTGCATGTCAACTATGACAGACAAAATGAGAAAAAATAATCCAGAAAATCACATTGTAGGATTTTTAATGAATTTATTTGCAAATTATGGTGGAAAATAAGTATTTGGTCAATAACAAAAGTTTCTCAATACTTTGTTATATACCCTTTGTTGGCAATGACACAGGTCAAACGTTTTCTGTAAGTCTTCACAAGGTTTTCACACACTGTTGCTGGCCCAATTTTGGCCCATTCCTCCATGCAGATCTCCTCTAGAGCAGTGATGTTTTGGGGCTGTCGCTGGGCAACACGGACTTTCAACTCCCTCCAAAGATTTTCTATGGGGTTGAGATCTGGAGACTGGCTAGGCCACTCCAGGACCTTGAAATGCTTCTTACGAAGCCACTCCTTCGTTGCCCGGGCGGTGTGTTTGGGATCATTGTCATGCTGAAAGACCCAGCCACGTTTCATCTTCAATGCCCTTGCTGATGGAAGGAGGTTTTCACTTAAAAATTCACGATACATGGCCCCATTCATTCTTTCCTTTACACGGATCAGTCGTCCTGGTCCCTTTGCAGAAAAACAGCCCCAAAGCATGATGTTTCCACCCCCATGCTTCACAGTAGGTATGGTGTTCTTTGGATGCAACTCAGCATTCTTTGTCCTCCAAACACGACGAGTTGAGTTTTTACCAAAAAGTTCTATTTTGGTTTCATCTGACCATATGACATTCTCCCAATCCTCTTCTGGATCATCCAAATGCACTCTAGCACACTTCAGACGGGCCTGGACATGTACTGGCTTAAGCAGGGGGACACGTCTGGCGCAGCAGGATTTGAGTCTCTTGCGGCGTAGTGTGTTACTGATGGTAGGCTTTGTTACTTTGGTCCCAGTTCTCTGCAGGTCATTCACTAGGTCCCCCCGCGTGGTTCTGGGATTTTTGCTCACCGTTCTTGTGATCATTTTGACCCCACGGGGTGAGATCTTAACGTGGAGCCTCAGATCGAGGGAGATTATCAGTGGTCTTGTATGTCTTCCATTTCCTAATAATTGCTCCCACAGTTGATTTATTCAAACCAAGCTGCTTACCTAATGCAGATTCAGTCTTCCCAGCCTGTTGCAGGTCTACAATTTTGTTTCTGGTGTCCTTTGACAGCTCTTTGGTCTTGGCCATAGTGGAGTTTGGAGTGTGACTGTTTGAGGTTGTGGACAGGTGTCTTTTATACTGATAACAAGTTCAAACAGGTGCCATTAATACAGGTAACGAGTGGAGGACAGAGGAGCCTCTTAAAGAAGAAGTTACAGGTCTGTGAGAGCCAGAAATCTTGCTTGTTTGTAGGTGACCAAATACTTATTTTCCACCATAATTTGCAAATAAATTCATAAAAAATCCTACAATGTGATTTTCTGGATTTTGTTTTCTAAATTTGTCTGTCATAGTTGACGTGTACCTATGATGAAAATTACAGGCCTCTCTCATCTTTTTAAGTGGGAGAACTTGCACAATTGGTGGCTGACTAAATACTTTTTTTCCCCACTGTACATACGATACGCATAGAAAAACACTACATTATAGACTTCACAGTGACCAGTCTACAGAGAGAGAATAGCAGGCTGAGTCACTACCGACATTGTACTGAGGAAGTAACACACTCAATATCCACAGAGAGTCACTACATAGGCTACATTCTGTGTGTGTGTGACTCACCCGCTTGCTGTTGTCCAGTTGTTCCTGCAGGTTGTCTATGGCAGAGCAGTGCTTGACTCGGAGCTCTGAGAGCTGGCCCTCGTGACGTCTCGTCTCCTCCTCAACACACCTCTGGAGCTCCCCCAACTCCGCCTCTCTACGAGACCTGAGTTCCTGCTGGGCCGCCGTGGTGTCCAGTGTGTCTTCCAGCTCTGTCCTCAGGGCCTCCAGCTCCTCCCCCAGGTCTCGCCTCTGTTTCTCTGCCCTCTCTCTCATCCCTCGTTCATTCTCCACCTCCTCCTTCAGCTCTGACACCTGAGACATGGCCTCTCTCAGAGCCCTCTGAGCCTCAGTCCTTCGTGCACCCTCCTCCTCCAACCTGGGAAAGAGAGAGATAAAGAACTAGAGAAGTCAAATATGGTGTTCCGCAAGGCACTGTGCTGGAACTGTTCCCATTAACATTATTGAGAGAGAGAAAGGGGTTTTGTAACACTATGCAAAGGAGGGGGTTGATATTTCCACTCTTCTCAAGGTGTGTGAATGTACAGTATAGATCTCCTCTCACCTCCCCTGTAGGGTTGTGATATCCTTCTCTCTCTGAGCCAGGGTGCCCCTGAGTTCAGCGGACAGTAGTCCCAAGTCAGAGAGCTGCTCCTGAGCCTCCACAGCCTCTCCCTCCATCCTCCTCCTCCACTTCTCCTGCTCCAGACGACCCTGCTCCTCACGCTTCAACCGCTCTACAGGAGGGAAGGGGAAGAAGAGAAAGGAAAGAGAAAATAATTCATACTAGGACAATGTAGACACGTTTCTGAAACAGTGTTGAGTGTTCATCCAATGTATGTCATAATGTTAAGTATGCATAACAAGTGCCACTAGTTTGCTTTACCCTCCAGGTCAGCGATGACTGCTTCCTGTTTGTTTTTCAGTTTGTTGAGACTCTTGGTCTTCTCCTCTTCCTCAGTCAGCGAGTCTGTCACCTCATTCAACCTCTCCTCCAGCTGCTTCTTCTCCTGAGAGACAGAGACAACATGGAGAAATGAAGTTCCAGCTGAGTCAACCCTGGCTTCAGTCCTGTCCAGGATAAAATAAATGTTACAGTTAAATGCTGTCTAGGGTATATACTGTAGCCAGTGTAACTATGGTTACCTTGCTGAGGCGGTCTCTCTGTTCTCCAGTGCTCAGCATCTCTGTCTCCAGACTCTTGACCTTAGTCTCCAGGGTAACCTTCTCCAACTGGAGGCGCTGTCTGGCCGACTCCTCCTCCTCCAACTGCTCCTCCAGATCCTGAGAGGAGGAGAGAGTGAGAGGGGAGGAGAGAAGGAGGGAGAGGGGAGGAGAGGAGGAGAGGAAGAGAGATGAAGAGAGAGAGGGGGGTGACAGAACATTAGGCAGATTGAGAGATACAGTTAGACCCTCTCATCTAAAGTTCCAAAACAATGCTGCTCTCTTCATCATTGTCATGTGCTTCATGTCCCCTTCTCTGTCTTCCACTCTCCCACAACCCCCCACTGTGCTGTACCGTCACGTGCTGCTGCATCTTCTTCTTCTCATTGGTCATCTGAACGCCCCTCTCCTCCTCCTCCTCCAATCGGCCCTCCAGCTCCCCCAGTATTTCCTCCAGCTCCTGCTTCCTACTGACCAGTCTGGCCCTCATCTCCTCCGCCTCCGCAAACAGCTCCGCCTCCGCCTGCAGCTGGTCTGTCAGCACCGCCTTCTCCTCCATCAGCTAGGAACGAGGGATGAGATGGGAGAAAGGGGGAGGGGGAGAAAGAGCGAGAGAGGTAAGTGTTCTGGTCTCTCTACCTGTTGGTGCTTTCTTATCCACTTTGTTGTACAGAGAGAGAGAGAGAGAGCTAGAGAGAGAGGGAGAGAGCTAGAGAGAGAGGGAGAGAGCTAGAGAGAGAGGGAGAGAGCTAGAGAGAGAGGGAGAGAGCTAGAGAGAGAGGGAGAGAGCTAGAGAGAGAGAGAGAGCGAGAGAGGCAGAGGTAGAGCGAGAGAGGTAGAGGTAGAGAGAGAGAGGGAGAGATAGATTGATAGATAGATAGAGAAAGGAAAGGTGTGTTGCCTGTGCGTGTTTCTTGTCCAGCTCAGTGTAGTCCTGTTCCACTCTGGTCAGGTTGTCTTTGGCATTCTTAAGCTCCGCCTCCCTCACCTGGATCTCCTCGTCCTGACGAGTGACCTGCAGCAGAGGCTTCACCTGGGGGACACGGGGTCAGAGGTCAGGGGTTAGGTCACATACCTGTGCTAGAGTGTGTGTGTGTGTGTGTGTGTGTACCTTGGTGAACAGCCTCCACCATTGCCAGTTCCTGAGTTTGAGGTAGGCAGCACAGTTCCTCTGCATCACTCTCATAGCACTCAGCTGCTGCTGCTTCTTCAGGAAGGCCCTACAGAGAGAGACAGAGAGAGAGAGACAGAGAGAGTCAACGTCGAGAGAGACAGAGAGAGTCAACACACAGAGAGAGACTGTGCCTCAAAACCTAATGTCTACCTGGCCCACCACTCCACCCTGGACTTGAACAGCCTTTACGACCAGGTCCACCTCTACAAGGCAGCAATCCCAACTTTTGCCAGGACCCTGAAGGACGTCACCCTCAACCGTAGCCCCTCACACAGGAGCAACAGAGCAACGGACACCCCGCCCAGACCAGCGAAACACCCTCCCAGACCTGCAAGACCCCCTCCTAAAGGACCTGCACCGAGAGAACCCACGCCAAGAGGACCTACACCCAGACCACAGCATCACCAGCCACACCCCAACCAGCTAAGACCACCCCAAGCAAAATCTGGCCACACCTTATATAGGCCCCCCCATATCAGACCTATGCCCCTTCTGCCCACCCCATGCCCCCCGCCACTGCGGCAAGGACCTCAACATGACAGCAGGACATATGCCCAGGCCGTGAGCAGAGCAACAGGCCCAACCCCCACTATTACACCCGCCCAAGCACCACCATGTATGTATCAGATGCTCTACATGCTCTGCTCAAACCTACTGTGATGGTCCAGGCCTAAACCACACAAAAACACAACACTAGACACTATGGAACACAAAGCTTTTACTATCTCATCCTGGAATATACAAGGTCTGAGGTCATCTGCGTTTGGCCTAAAGAGCAGGAACTCAGACTTCATCAAAGAAATTGGAAATACAGACATTGTCATCCTACAAGAAACGGACCCACTGGTTGCCCTCTAGGTTACAGAGAGCTGGTAGTCACATCCACCAAACTACCAGGTGTGAAACAGGGAAGAGATCAGGGGGTATGCTAATTTGGTATAGAGCAGACCTAATCCACTCTATTCAATTAGTAAAAACAGGAAAATGGTACATCTGGCTAGAAATTAATAAGGAAATGATCTCAACAGAGAAAAATGTCCTCATGTGTGCTACCTATAGCCCCCCAATAGAATCCCCATACTTTAACGATGACAGCTTCGCCATCCTAGAGGGGGAGATAAACCATTTCCAGGCCCAGGGACATGTACTAGTCTGTGGAGACCTAAATGCCAGAACTGGACAATAACCAGACACCCTCAGCACACAGGGGGACAAACACCTACCTGGAGGTGACAACATTCCCTCCCCCATATGCCCCCCTAGACACAACTATGATAACATAACCAACAAAAACGGGTCACAACTCCTGCAGCTCTGTCGGATGCTGGTTATGTACATAGTCAATGGTGGGCTTCGAGGGGACTCCTATGGTAGGTACACATATAGCTCATGTCTTGGCAGTAGTACTGTAGACTACTTTATCACTGACCTCAACCCAGAGTATCTTAGAGCGTTCACAGTCAGTCCACTGACACTCCTATCAGATCACAGCAAAATCATACTCTACTTGAACAGAGCTATGTTTGAAATGTTCTACCCTCTTGTGGCTTTGAGTCAGTGACTCAATATTAAGAAATGCTATAGATGGAAGGAAAGTAGTGTGGAAATCTACCAAAAAACTATTAGACAACAACAAATTCAATCCCTTCTAGACAATTTCCTGGACAAAATGTTTCACTGTAATAGTGAAGGTGTAAACTTGGCAGTAGAAAACCTAAACAGTATATTTGACCTCTCAGCTTCCCTATCAAATCTTAGCAGACAACCTAAGAAAATTAACAACAATGACAAATGGTTTGATGAAGAATGCAAAAACCTAAGAAAGAAATTGAGAAACCTATCCAACCGAAAACATAGAGACCCAGAAAACCTGAGCCTACACCAAAACAATCCAGAAATACACTACGGAAAAATAAGGAACAGCACATCAGAAATCAGCTCAATGTAATTGAAGAATCCATAGAATCTAACCACTTCTGGGAAAATTGGAAAACAAACAACAACATGAAGAGTTATCTATCCAAATGGAGATGTATGGATAAACCACTTCTCCAATCTTGTTGGCCCTATAACAAAGAACAAAGAACAAACAGCAAAAACATATACAGTGGGGAGAACAAGTATTTGATACACTGCCGATTTTGCAGGTTTTCCTACTTACAAAGCATGTAGAGGTCTGTCATTTTTATCATAGGTACACTTCAACTGTGAGAGACGGAATCTAAAACAAAAATCCAAAAAATCACATTGTATGATTCTTAAGTAATTAATTTGCATTTTATTGCATGCCATAAGTATTTGATACATCAGAAAAGCAGAACTTAATATTTGGTACATAAACCTTTGTTTGCAATTACAGAGATCATACGTTTCCTGTAGCTCTTGTCCAGATTTGCACACACTGCAGCAGGGATTTTGGCCCACTCCTCCATACAGACCTTCTCCAGATCCTTTAGGTTTCGGGGCTGTCGCTGGGCAATACAGACTTTCAGCTCCCTCCAAAGATTTTCTACTGGGTTCAGGTCTGGAGACTGGCTAGGCCACTCCAGGACCTTGAGATGCTTCTTACGGAGCCACTCCTTAGTTGCCCTGGCTGTGTGTTTCGGGTTGTTGTCATGCTGGAAGACCCAGCCACGACCCATCTTCAATGCTCTTACTGAGGGAAGGAGGTTGTTGGCCAAGATCTCGCAATACATGGCCCCATCCATCCTCCCCTCAATACGGTGCAGTCGTCCTGTCCCCTTTGCAGAAAAGCATCCCCAAAGAATGATGTTTCCACCTCCATGTTTCATGGTTGGGATGGTGATCTTGGGGTTGTACTCATCCTTCTTCTTCCTCCAAACACGGTGAGTGGAGTTTAGACCGAAAAGCTATATTTTTAGCTCATCAGACCACATGACCTTCTCCCATTCCTCCTCTGGATCATCCAGATGGTCATTGGCAAACTTCAGACGGGCCTGGACATGCGCTGGCTTGAGCAGGGGGACCTTGCGTGCGCTGCAGGATTTTAATCCATGACAGCGTAGTGTGTTACTAATGGTTTTCTTTGAGACTGTGGTCCCAGCTCTCTTCAGGTCATTGACCAGGTCCTGCCGTGTAGTTCTGGGCTGATCCCTCACCTTCCTCATGATCATTGATGCCCCACGAGGTGAGATCTTGCATGGAGCCCCAGACCGAGGGTGATTGACCGTCATCTTGAACGTCTTCCATTTTCTAATAATTGCACCAACAGTTGTTGCCTTCTCACCAAGCTGTTTGCCTATTGTCCTGTAGCCCATCCCAGCCTTGTGCAGGTCTACAATTTTATCCCTGATGTCCTTAAACAGCTCTCGGGTCTTGGCCATTGTGGAGCGGTTGGAGTCTGTTTGATTGAATGTGTGGACAGGTGTCTTTTATACAGGTAACGAGTTCAAACAGGTGCAGTTAATATAAGTAATGAGTGGCGAACAGGAGGGCTTCTTAAAGAAAAACTAACAGGTCTGTGAGAGCCAGTATTCTTACTGGTTGGTAGGTGATCAAATACTTATGTCATGCAATAAAATGCAAATGAATTACTTAAAAATCATACAATGTGATTTTCTGGATTTTTGTTTTAGATTCCGTCTCTCACAGTTGAAGTGTACCTATGATAAAAATGACAGACCTCTACATGCTTTGTAAGTAGGAAAACCTGCAAAATCGGCAGTGTATCAAATACTTGTTCTCCCCACTGTACATGATCAAATACAAATCTTAGAATCAACTATTAAAGACTACCAGAACCCACTGGTTTCTCCAATTACATTGAATGAACTACAGGACAAAATACAAACTCTCCAACCCAAAAAGGCCTGTGGGGTTGATGGTATCCTAAATGAAATGATAAAATATACAGACCACAAATTCCAATTGGCTATACTTAAACTCTTTAACATCATCCTTGGCTCTGGCATATTCCCCAATATTTGGAACCAAGGACTGATCACCCCAATCCACAAAAGTGGAGACAAACTTGACCCCAATAACTACCGTGGGATATGCGTCAACAGCAACTGTCAGTGTAGCTGTAGGTGGGTGTGGTGGTGGAATCAGGCGCAGGACGCAGAACGTTAGTCCAAAAGACTTTAGTAGATGCACAAAACACAAGCACGAATAAATGCCCTGAGGCGAGAACTCCGCACGCAGGCGAAAACAAACGGGCGCACTAAACAGGTGCGACAAAATACTCCAAACACTATGGAGAACAGCTCAACCGAGCAAACAGTAGAAGTACTAGCCAACCGCACGACAGTAAAACAAACACACACAACACTTGACAAAACCAACGAGAACTTATAGGACACTAATGACACTAAACGATAACAGGTGTAACAACAATCAGACAAAAGCAAACGAACATAGAAACATGCAACGGTGGCAGCTAGTATTCCGGAGACGACGAACGCCGAAGCCTGCCCGAGCAAGGAAGAGAGGCAGCCGAAACCGTGACAGTACCCCCCCCCTTGACGCGCGGCTCCAGACGTGCGCCGACTCCGGCCTCGGGGACGACCAGGAGGACGCGGAGCAGGGCGCGTCGGGTGCCCACGATGGAATTCCGTCAGGAGAGACGGGTCCAAAATGTCTCTCCTCGGCACCCACCACCGTTCCTCCGGGCCGTACCCCTCCCACTCCACTAGATATTGGAGACCCCCCATCCGACGTCTCGAATCCAAGATGGACCGCACGGAGTACGCCGGTGCCCCCTCGATGTCCAATGGGGGCGGAGGAGTCTCCCTGATCTCACTTTCTTGGAGTGGGCCAGCTACCACCGGCCTGAGAAGAGACACATGGAACGAGGGGTTAATACTTTTATACTCAACAGGTAGTTGCAATTTGTAACACACC